AGCAGCCCTCAAAGCTGGTGCGGGCTGGTGTCCCGCACCAGCTTTCAAGCACCAGCCGGCCTCGAGCAGCCCTCAAGCTGGCTGCGGGCTGGTGTCCCGCACCAGCTTTCAAGCACCAGCTGGCCTCGAGCAGCCCTCAAGCTGGCTGCGGGCTGGTGTCCCGCACCAGCTTTCAAGCACCAGCTGGCCTCAAGCAGCCCTCAAAGCTGGTGCGGGACACCAGCCCGCACCAGCTTTCAAGCACCAGCTGGCCTCGAGCAGCCCTCAAGCTGGCTGTGGGCTGGTGTCCCGCACCAGCTTTCAAGCACCAGCTGGCCTCAAGCAGCCCTCAAAGCTGGTGCGGGACACCAGCCCGCACCAGCTTTCAAGCACCAGCTGGCCTCGAGCAGCCCTCAAGCTGGCTGCGGGCTGGTGTCCCGCACCAGCTTTCAAGCACCAGCTGGCCTCAAGCCCTCAAAGCTGGTGCGGGACACCAGCCCGCACCAGCTTTCAAGCACCAGCTGGCCTCAAGCAGCCCTCAAAGCTGGTGCGGGACACCAGCCCGCACCAGCTTTCAAGCACCAGCTGGCCTCGAGCAGCCCTCAAGCTGGCTGCGGGCTGGTGTCCCGCACCAGCTTTCAAGCACCAGCTGGCCTCAAGCAGCCCTCAAAGCTGGTGCGGGACACCAGCCCGCACCAGCTTTCAAGCACCAGCTGGCCTCGAGCAGCCCTCAAGCTGGCTGCGGGCTGGTGTCGCCAGCTTTCAAGCACCAGCTGGCCTCAAGCAGCCCTCAAAGCTGGTGCAGGACACCAGCCCGCACCAGCTTTCAAGCACCAGCTGGCCTCGAGCAGCCCTCAAGCTGGTTGCGGGCTGGTGTCCCGCACCAGCTTTCAAGCACCACCTGGCCTCAAGCAGCCCTCAAAGCTGGTGCGGGACAACAGCCCGCACCAGCTTTCAAGCACCAGCTGGCCTCGAGCAGCCCTCAAGCTGGCTGCGGGCTGGTGTCCCGCACCAGCTTTCAAGCACCAGCTGGCCTCAAGCAGCCCTCAAAGCTGGTGCGGGACACCAGCCCGCACCAGCTTACAAGCACCAGCTGGCCTCGAGCAGCCCTCAAGCTGGCTGCGGGCTGGTGTCCCGCACCAGCTTTCAAGCACCAGCTGGCCTCAAGCAGCCCTCAAAGCTGGTGCGGGACACCCCAGCCCGCACCAACTTTCAAGCACCAGCTGGCCTCGAGCAGCCCTCAAGCTGGCTGCGGGCTGGTGTCCCACACCAGCTTTCAAGCACCAGCTGGCCTCAAGCAGCCTTCAAAGCTAGTGCGGGACACCAGCCTCCACCAGCTTTCAAGCACCAGCTGGCCTCGAGCAGCCCTCAAGCTGGCTGCGGGCTGGTGTCCCGCACCAGCTTTCAAGCACCAGCTGGCCTCAAGCAGCCCTCAAAGCTGGTGCGGGACACCAGCCCGCACCAGCTTTCAAGCTGGCCTCGAGCAGCCCTCAAGCTGGCTGCGGGCTGGTGTCCCGCACCAGCTTTCAAGCACCAGCTGGCCTCAAGCAGCCCTCAAAGCTGGTGCGGGACACCAGCCCGCACCAGCTTTCAAGCACCAGAGCAGCCCTCAAGCTGGCTGCGGGCTGGTGTCCCGCACCAGCTTTCAAGCACCAGCTGGCCTCAAGCAGCCCTCAAAGCTGGTGCGGGACACCAGCCCGCCCCAGCTTTCAAGCACCAGCTGGCCTTGAGCAGCCCTCAAGCTGGCTGCGGGCTGGTGTCCCGCACCAGCTTTCAAGCACCAGCTGGCCTCAAGCAGCCCTCAAAGCTGGTGCGGGACACCAGCCCGCACCAGCTTTCAAGCACCAGCTGGCTCGAGCCAACAACTCGCTGGGCGGCCCACTTCATTCCGTCAGTCTGAGCGGCGGCACACGCGGATGAGTGCAACAATGAAAGGGCACGCGCAGTAATGCTTTCGCAAGCTGGACCCCACTCAGGCCTTGCCCTCACAGTCTTGCGTCGGCTGCGTCTGCCGCTCCCTATCGCTCCCCCCTCACGCCGCGCACTTGTCATTGCCGAGGCCACCTTTTTGACCTGCTGGGTGACCCGCTCAGCCTGGGCAACAGCCGGTGTATTGGCGTCCAGAGCTCTTCCGCTTGAGCATGCGGCCACCCCACCCGCCCCGCAAGCGGCGCGAAACGTCTCCCGAAATCCCCGAGCTCGCGATTGCCCGGGCCCGTCTCGTCGTTGGCGGGCGCTTCGGTGCTGAAGCCGCCTTCTTCCTTTGCCACCTCGTGCGGCACCGTGCTGCCAGTCAGGCTGGGTCCAGCACTGGTCTGGCCTTGCGGCATCCCTCCTGGAGCGCATGCCGCCTGGTGTGACTTTTGCGACGCGGGAAGGGCGCCCGTGGAGATCCTCGCCCGAGGCGCGCCTTGACGGCGCCCTGAATCAGTCCATACAGAGTCCATAGGTCGCAAATTTGGTGCACGGGGACCACGGTCACTGTCCAAAGCGTCGACGACTGGAGCAGTTGGGCAATATCCTGTGCCACACGAGCCAAAAACCTCAACATGACAATCTGAGCCGACAAACAGGACGGCAATAATTAACGCCTGTGGGTGTGCGATTTGGAAGGCGTTACATCCGGTTCCATGGTAGGAATATGTAGGAATGGTCAGCCGGCATCACCCAAGCCGAGCGCCGCATGCAAGGACATCATGCCACTAACAAAGGGTGGCACGCAATTAAGGTATGAATAATACAGAGAAAATGCAACTCCAACATGCCCCATGTCGTCGGCATGGGCGTGCCTGTAACTAAGTATCGCATGTACAATCACGTACACATGCGGCGCTGTGATTGAAGTTTGAACAGTGGGGCGGAAACTAAGGTTGGACCGTGTTCATGACGCGTACGTGACCAAGAAGATCGTGCTGTGGCTCATTGTGATGTGATTTCGACCAACAACTGAGGTGGGCTCAGCTGCTTTGGTCCGATGACATCATCCAGGCCTTGTCGTGCAAAACCGTCGCATGATGGAAACTGTTGCTGATGCAGGTTTCGCTCTGCTGCCGAGCAATTTGTTGTGCGATTGGAGGCAGCCATCATTCGAGTTACGTGCCCGTGATCGGAAAGCACGTTTTTGTTTTTACATACGACACGCCAATACGATTTATCACGGTACCTCCAGCAGGATTGAGAGGGAACGTGGTCCAGGCGCATCGTTTGGGTACTGTGGCATGTGTCCGTACCGCAAGCAGAAACGGCCCAGGATCTTGGATCACATCTTTGGCGATTTCCGAATTTGTGCTGCGCTTTGCTACTCCTAGGCATCTTTACCGCGAGCGTGTGTGCCCCTCAGAGGTCTGGAAAGACCTTGTCTCGTGATCCAGGCAGCGGGCTTCATGGTGTGGGAGGGCTGCGGACGAACAGACTCGAAGACAGCAAACAAACCACAGCACGCAATTTCCGCGCGGCCCCGGCGGCAACTCCGCGCCCACATGGTTTGTTGGGGGCCATGGCTGTCTGGGAAGCTTGGTTGTAGGGGTTCCCGGTTCCTGCCCACCTCACGTGCTCTGGGCTCCACATGCCCCGGCCGGTCCTGTTGCCTCAACAGGCGACCACTTGACAGACGCCCTGCCCCCTCCTACAACGCCGCCTTGGCTCCTCCTTGCCTGGTGCCCCTTGCCCCCGGACTGCTTTTCGACAAGAGAAGCATGAACTGGCCAAGCGGTGGGATGCACAAGTTGAAAGCGTTGGAAATTCGCTGTGGCAGTTTGGGCACCTTGGTCCCAGCTGTCATTTGAAATTGTATGTGACTTTCTGGGACATCATCAGACTAGAAAGGATGACTGCGCAAGAAAAATGTCTGCAGGCTTCTCAAGGATCGATGCTCGAGTGCCGGCCCGAACTTGCTGTTCGGTTTCGGCTTTGGCACTTTTTGTGTTGAGCGCAGCAGGCGGTGCAACGCGTCGAATTGCCCATAGCTCAGCAGAACGAAGGCGTGCGTCGTGACGAGTTACGTCCCTGTGTAGGCTTGGTCTCTGATCACTGTTTTTTGGTGGTGGCAGTCGATCTGCGAGCTTTGCCTCGACATGTTTCTCTTTGTTGGCACGCTCATGTGGATGTGGAGGCACGGCCAGGGGTTGCGCACTGCAATGCTCGGGTTCTGATTCCCGAGTCCGATGCAGGAGGGGGCCCTGGAAGTTGAAGAGGAATTGCCGGAAGGAGTTGAAATGTTGACAGATGTTGCCACTTGTTGTTGACTTGCCAGAAAATGAGAAACGGAAGACTCGCCGATGTGTGATGAGTGGGACAGGGAGACTGCTGGGCCTTCATCGTGGCGTTTGCCTGTGGCTGAGCTGGGAAGCCTCTTCACCTTCTTGGCCTTGGCATGGCTGTTGGTCTGTCAGGTGTCGAAGAAGGTGGTTTCCGGAGTCCCGCCGCTTCGAAGCACGCGACGGGCCATTGTTTGCAAGCCTTGAGTGTGAGACGCCAAGGTCTTCCTTGCACCAACCGGATCTGACAGGCCTGTGGCAATGGTGGGTGCAAGTCAGGGCAGACGTGCAAGATTTCAAGAGGCAAGCAGAGATAGCAGAGCCCCTGCAGGCCAGAAATGAGAATGCAAGTGCGATGGTTTCCAACGGGCAATGCGCTATGCCCGCATGAGTCAGGGCCACGGATGTTCAATCCACAGTGCAGTAGGTGCAACATGGTGCAACATTCCAGGCCATTTTTTGAGTTGAAACTGCAATGCTGCACAGCTCACAAGGCATGGCGGGTGCTCCTTGTACTTGATTGTGGAAGCGATCGAGAACTGCCCTGCGGAGCTTATGGCGCGCCTTCGAGTGTCGTTCTGACTCGGTGCCCAAATGCAGTGTGGAAGGCGATCACGTTCGAACTTCGGGCAGGGAGGCTACGGAGAGTGCCAAGCTTAAGTAGCATGAGTTTTCACATCACACATCGCTTTGTGTTGCGAGCCACTTCTGACAAATTGCCTCGCAGCTGCTCATGGCTTCAACAGAGCTTGCCGGAGCAGTGTAATGCCGAATGCGTTCCAAGACTTGTCCGATGACACATACGGGCCGCAGTTCCTGCACAACGCAGTGGTGATCAGTGCGTCTGTCAAGACTGCCCAACGCATAGCCTCCTTACTGGCTTCCTGCCGGGGCGAACGTTCCATGGGAGTTGCCGCCGCAGTGTGCAGCACTGAACAAGCGGGTGAACATGCTGAACATACTGAACATGCAGAGACAGAGGGCCACAATGTTATCGAAGCCCAGGACCTGGAGGACCTTGACCCAGAAGATTTTGACATCGTGATATACGTAGGTCCTCATGGAATTGATGCAATGCTGGAGGCTGCCTGGACAAGCAAAGGTATTTTTAGGCGATGGGAGGAGTCCAAGGAGGAGGAGCAGACCAAGGAGCTGCTGACAAAGCTCGACGATGTTGCCATGCGAAGTGCTTGTGGTGCAGGGACATCATGCTGAGGTGGGTTCTGTTAGGCTCACGAGCTGCTGAATGACTGGACAACTGGGGTAATGGAATTACCAAAAGCATCGGATTCTTTGCAGCAAAAGTGATATGGCGACATTGTGCCCAAGGCCAGGTTTCGTCCCATGGAGGTATGTTGCAAAAAGTCACCCAGCTTTGAACGTAAGTGACATGCAAGCAATGGCTTGTACGCGCTCACCCGACTGCAAAGCATCGTGTCAGCGCACGCCAGCGCACGCGGCGTAGTAAGTCAGATAAAGTTGTCATGACTTTTTCAGCTACAGCCACCAGTGGTCAGGGCATAAGGGGCACACGTGCTAAACGATCTCAGGTGCTTCATCACGATTTTACAACCTGCAGCTTGCCTGCAAGAAAAGCTGATGATTTCTGCACGCACGAGGTAATGTGTGCTGTTTCGGTGGCCAGAGGCCCGCAGTGGGGGAGTGCAGACTTTGGAGATCTAGCCGGTGAGTTGGAAGGCGCGCTCTCTCCGTTTGTGGGCTGCGGATGTTTGGCAGTAAATTGTCATGAGCAGGCAGCGAAGCCAGCAGAGCGCGAGCCTGAAGCACGTTTGTTCTTGTGGACCGAAACCAAAACTCTTTGAAATCCTTGAACCCTGAACTGTTTTGTAGAAATGTGGACTGAACTTTGGTTGCTGGCAACCAAGATATCGCGATGCAAATGAACACATCAGATTAGCTGGTCTTTCTGCACTCCTCCTCAATGGAGCGGGGATGCCCCCAACAAGTCCATCAGCGTAAGCAAACAGCCCCCGCTCAAGCTGGCCTCCCCCCGGCAGCCCCGTGGAGTTGACCTCACCCCTCAAACCCCTCAAGAGCCTTCCAAGGCCCCAAGCCCATCAGTGTAAGCAAACAGCAGCCCTCAGGTTTGGCCTCCGGTCATAGTTTATCAATGCTCAAGGAATCCGGGCCTTCTTGGTGCGGGTGCGCTTTGAAGCTCGCGTTTCTCGAGAATGGCTTTGCAGGCCCTGCATGTAACCACAGCTTACGGGAGCCCGCACCTTGCGACCCACGATGCTCCAAGACTGAACGTCCATCCCCTGCCCAGAGATCGAAGGCTCAAGGCTTCTCTGTCCCTACAAGCTGCAAGCTGTTGCCCATTGCCCAACGGGTCCCACTCCCGGCGGCGTCAGCTGCTCACTCTCGCACAACCAAAAAACTATCGACGTATGCCACTACCACTGCGCGAACTTTATTATGAGTGACAAACGGCTGTAAACGCGCGCCGGAGGCCCCGGCTACCTCGGTATCTACAGTGTTGTCGGTGGACGATGAGTGCGTCCCTGTTACCATTGCGTGCGAGTGGCCAGAGCATCCATGCCCGCACGATGATTACGTTTGTGTTACCATCCTTGCAGCCTCTGTTGGTGAAGCCTCTATGTGCACTGGCTCGCAAACATTTGTCGCCATATTGCCACACACCACTATGCGAGCCTGCCTGTTGCACTATGGTGTTGGACCATCTGGACCTGCATCATCCTTGAGTTTTACTGTTATTATCACAGGCCGTCACGAGGAGTTGCATCAAACCCCAGACACAACTCCAAACCCGCCACATGAGCCCTGTAATGGCCGGGGGTTTTAGTGGCCGTTTGTTCGGAGCGGATGCCAGTTCCCGACACCAGGTTGACATGGCCCATGTGCCGAGCTGAATATTTCATTTCGCGCGACCACGGGCTGGGCGGGCATGCAAGAATACAGGCCGGCAGAACATCTACGTGCGTTTTGTTTTGTCCAAGATGAAGGCCAAACGGCGCCGTTTATCGGCATTGTATGTCCAGTAGTGTGGGACAAGCGACAGAAAACAGTTTGAAACCTGAAGCCACCGTTTGGCACCGCAAGCAACCCCGAGATCATCCCTGAGACTGCAAACCTCCTGAGCCTTTCTGAGCCTTTCAAACAGGAACACAGGGTCGCGCTAATTCACGCTCAGTTGTAGTCTCAGCGAGCAGGCGAGCAGGGGGTAGCAGCCGACAAAAATGATAAATGACCAGGGAAATAATGTTGGCGTGGCCAATGAGAATGCGAAAGATCGTCGTCTTCGAACTTTGTAATTGTAGCGTAGTACTAGTGAGAACGATTCCTGCGGATTGTTGGTCTTATTCTGGCGAATGCTGAAAGTGTGGTGGCTGCTGCAGCACTGAGGTGTGTGTGCAGGTCACTTTGCTCCGTACTAAGGGCCAGCTGTCCGGCACATGAGTTTTTCGGCCATGTGTCACATTGCGTCACATCAGCGTGTCTCATCAGGCTGGAAGTGCCCGCTGCCTTCCGCATTTGCCTCTCCCCGGAACCGTCCGAAGTGGTTGGAGACCTGGCAAGGGACAACGACCAGCAGTCGCTTGCATTGCTTGCATGTCGCAAGCCCTGGGTTTTTGTCGTGAAATAGGTCTGGAGGATCGAGAACTGGTCGGGCAAGCAGAGTTTCGGTCCAGCTGCGTACGTGCAGAACTCAGAATTGTGAGAGGTCCATAGAGGTCCTATACCGCCTCAGTAGACAGCAGTCAGGTATCTGAGCAGCTCGGATTGGTGGGCTGCCCCTCCATGAGGATGAGCAGCTCCCAGGGACACCGAAGAGCACGGCGTGCATTCAGAGTCAGCAAGCTGGGTCGTCTGTTAAGGCTGGTGGCCTTCTGTCCGGGCACATCGGACGACTTGGCCGGGCGCTCGCATGCTTTCGCCTTGATGCGTTGGTTAGGTGTGCCATGGTCCCGTACGGCAGGTCGGGCCTCGACCGCCGGTTTGCAGGCACTGGGGACTCTCCTTAGACTCCTTAGACTCTAGGCCCCTAGGCTCGTGCCGTTTTGTGACGTTTAGTGCCTTTGTGAGAGGTCTCTGGCTCAGCAGCCGCTGGCCTTGTTCGTTGGAGCAGCGCCTGGCACCACTTGCAGATTCTCCCTCCAGGCCTGTCTCATAGCGTGCAGCAGCATGATTGTGATTCTGATGTGACATGAAATAGCCGGCAGCCTTTGAATGCAAAGGCAGGGAGCAAGCGACGTATTTTCTTTCACAAGTTCAGCTTCTTGGTACCTGGGACTGCGGCTTTCAGTTGAAGTTTGCATGCGGCGATGTATTGAATCGCGGTTGGCGCAGGATGTCTTGCAAGTCTTTTTGAAACTGTCCGCTCAGGAGGCCTTTGCTGGCCGGCGCCTCTTCCTCACAGCGGCACAGGACTAGGTTTTCGTGCTTGCGGGGATTTACAAGGTGTCCAGCAATGTGAGCAACTTCAGGATGCTGCGGTGGAGGGTGACGTGCTGCAGGTGGAAGCTTGCACGCGCATGCTGCACAAATTCATGCAACCGTCGCAGCGAAGAGTCACACAACGAAACACCATGTCGCCTGGATTTGTCCCTGCAGAGTGACAGGCAGCTAGGCGGTGAAGAAAGATTCAAGCAACTCCAGCATTCACGGGTGCACCCCGCTTCGTGCAACATCGCGTGCAACCGACTCTGCCAATTTTTAGGGAGGCAGTGGGGCGGGGGTGGGGGTGGTAAAAACAACAGATGCGAAAGCAAAACGCGAGTGCCCGCGCCCAGTTGCAGTGCACTCGCTTCTTTCATGAATTGTTGAACGCATGTGGTACCTCGTGGTACATCATGTTGTTGATCTCATTTTTGATTTGCTGCACATTGTGCTGAACACAAATGAACACAAGTCCTTCGTCAACCCTCTTGTGTGTGTGCATCATGACATGCCACATAAGAACCTTGGCAGGTGGCTTTGAGAATCCTGGGTGACACGCTAGGCAGTCGTGAAGAGGTGGAGGACTGACATGCCCCTTGCAACTTGAACGTCAAGGCATGTTCCAGAATCAATCCTGCGCAGGAGATCGACACGCTGCCTGCTGTGTGAGAGATCCGCAGCGATGCGAGAAGAAGCAAAGTAGCGCAACGTGCCGCACGCTGCATTGAAGCTTTCAGCAGTCAACAAACGACCCACCCAAGGGATAGATCGTCGTTCCATGCTGCAGCCGGCTTCGAGGGGAAACCTTTGAATCCTGTCAACGTAGTGGTAGCTCAGCTGTTGTGGTCGAGCATGAGCCTCTTGCTTGCTCGCGTGCTTGGCGTTGCGCTTCTGGTGACATGCTCGCAAGGCACCGGATTAGGACCTGGTGTGATGAGCATTAGCTGGTCCTCTGCCGAGCTGTCTTGCCCTGGAGGTTTGGACGTTCTTACTGGGACGACTGGGACGACCCAGCACAAGCACAAGCACAAGCACCATAAGCACCACAAACAGCACAAAGCTTTGGCTCAGGTGAACTCCACTGTCACCGAGACCCCGGCAGCACTGCAAGTTCCGCAAGCGCAGTCTCAAGTGCAGCCACAAGCACTAGTAAGCGCGGCAAACACAGCAAACCCAGTCCCTCAGCAACAGCTCCAACATCTTACCGGAGCCAGCCAGTCCCTGGCAATCTTCGACAGTGAGGCGCAGCAGGCTTTGCCAGCCATTGTGGACGATGTCCGCAAGGCAGCGGCGCACAAAGCCCCATTGGATGAACTGAAAAAGACCCACGCCTCAGAAGTGAAGCTTCTGGAAGAGCAGGAGGCAGGCATCGGTATTGCTCGGAACGGCGATATCGTTTGATGCAGTACAAATGCAGATATCTGTCGACGAGATTGATTTCAGCATCGGGAAAACGCACAAACTTCTCTTTTCAAGTCTGGACAAGCAGGCCATGCTGAAGTCTGACCAGACAGGCCTGGACAAGAGCGCGCTGCAACAGCAGGCCCTTGCAACGATTTCTTGTGGTTGCGCCTGTGGGCGAGAGACACAAAGCCTCAAACAACAACAATTCCCTTCCAAAAAACAACAAACCACCCTTATTTAATTCCATGAGTTGCGTGCCCCTCATGATGACGTTACGCCTGTGAAGCCTGTCCATCTTCATTGTAGAGGTGGATTCCACGAAAGCAATGCTTCAAAACTTGGAGGGCCAGATCGCCACCAAGCGCCAGGACAAAGCAAGTGTGAAGAAAGATTGCTGCTCACTGGTAGCACTTGGTAGTGTAGTAGTGTATATTATAGTACGGCTCCCAAATCGATTCTGTTAGCGAAGATTAGCAGTTAGTTCACTACATCTAACTGAGCTCCCGTTCCTCTTTGTCCGTCTTGGCGTTGGACGTTGGGGCGTTGAGGCTTCAGTTGTTTGAGCCGAAGAGAAAGCGGCCCAACCACTTTCCAAACCTTGGAGGATGCTGTGGACATCTTGGGAAAGGCGCTCTCAGACGCACGCACGGCGCTGGTTCAGGCTTCTACCGAGGACTGCTCGAGCAACGGCATTTGTTTTACCCGTTAACAGTCCAATGGCATCCGATGTTACCCCTGCACCATTTCCTCTCAACGTCTGCTGCATGTGTGAGCCAAGTTCGGCGGCGCATCCAGTCTGCAAGGGCTTAAGCAAAGCAAAGTAACAACAGATGCAAGTCGACATCCGACCAGCTCAGAGTGCTCGCCTGGCAGAGCCGCAAGCCCGCAGTCACGCGACGGACGACGGAATGGCCAGAGCAAAGATCGGAGACTCCAAAAAGAGATGCATGTGATGCCGCAAAGGCCCGAGAATATCCGTGCCACCAAACTCTTCATAGACGTGGTGACAGTGTCGCAAGCTTCGCAGGCTTCGCAGGCTTCGCAGGCTTCGCAGGCTTCGCAGGCTTCGCAGGCTTCGCAGGCTTCGCAGGCTTCGCAGGCTTCGCAGGCTTCGCAGGCTTCGCAGGCTTCGCAGGCTTCGCTCGCCAGGCACAATGACAGGTGAGTGCCGACAGCACCATACAGTACAAGTACCGCACATGTGTATGGCCCATCGTGCTCCCTCAACACACTGTGTCTTGGCCCTGCAGCCCACGGCCATCAGGTTTGGCCTTTGGCTTTGCCCCAATGGTTCCGGTGCTGTACAGGAGGCATCTCAGGAGGCGGCAGCCAGAGAGGCTGAGAAGCAGATCAAGGCAACTCGATGGAGAGACTAGCTTGTGTTCGCTTGTGGCATCTTGTGGCATTTTGTGGCATCTCCGCCTATTGCATCGAACATGTGCAGGCTGCTCAGCAGCAGAAATTAAATGCAAGGAAGGTCATCGAACAGGCCGAGAAGGCTGGCATTCTGCGAAACCATGAATGCCAGTGACCACACGATGTGAATGTGAATGCTCTTTTGGTGACGCTCAGTCGATGTACGCCGTCCTTCGGATTGCAGCAGGTGATGGACGTCTTCGGTGGCAATTCTTCTGCTGCTGCTCCCCAGGCCGGACATGTTTGGAGATGGCCATTGGGCCATTGGGTGGCTGAAGTTCGAAGCTGCTGACAGGTGCCAGCGCTGGCTCCGACTAAGATTGCTCAGGTTGCTAGTGAGCCACAAGAGCTGAGCTAGAGTCAGGGTGGAGATTCAGTGGAGATGGGTGCATGCTCAAAAAAGTTCAGGAGAGAGGCCAACAACCCTGTAAACCGCCCCGCACCCCCCCCCCCCACCCACAGCCGATGCAGGGCATCGCACCGCCCAGATGATTCCGCGATTGTGCGTGTGACTTTTTGTAACTTCCACCTGGGCTCTACAAGGTTGGTTTCGATGTATACATAGGGCTCAGCCGAGGGCTCAGCATGGACAGTGCTGAGGCTGAAGGCTTCGACCCTGATGCTTCGCAGCTGCTGCCGGAGCCGGAGGTGGGCCGGCAATGTCGCATTGCTCCGCGCTGGTGGGCCTGGGCTGTTGCAGGTCTTGTCGCCATGGCAGCACTACAGCGGACGGTGATGGCATATGGGGCGCGTGCCCCGAATGTTGTCGCCTCTGTGGGGTTGGGAGCGGCATCCCTCCTACCGTTGGTAGAAGTTGTTCCCTATGGGGTCCTCGGGGTGCAGCTTGACGCTTCCCACCGGTTCATGCGAGCTTCGTCAGAGCCAGATGCAGACACGGTTGTGGTTGACCCAGCTGGGCTGCGGTTCATTCAGGACCTTGGGCCAGCAGGCGCTGGGGGAGCGTCGGGTGCCATTTACTCGTGGCTAAAGATTGGCTTGGAGGCACGGTTTCCACATGAAGTGAGGCACGCAGTTCGCAAAGAAGGCGATGCTAAGTTACATTCATATGGGTCAAAGCAGGTTATCCATGTCGTGGGGCCGAACTTAAATGAGATATCTGTGGCCACAGCTGCTACGCGCGCGGCTGCTGTGCAGCAGTTGACCACTGCCTATATGCACATTCTGGAGCAGTTTCTCTCCTCGGAAGCAAGACATCTTCGATTGCTTCCGGTTTCAAGTGGAATTTTCGCAGGACCATTCCAGCATGACTTACCTGAGATGACATTTGCTTCTCTGGATAGCGCATTTCGATCCTTGCCTGTGGAGAGTCAAAGACGGCTGCTGCGCCTTGGCGTAAAGCTGTGCATCTTCGACCAGCAGCAATTTCACAAGTTTCTTGCTGCATGTCCAACATGTGCACGCAGTGCACGCAATGAGGGATGAATGTCCCCAATTAGGTAGCAAGTTCACAGCACAAAGATGCAAGCATGGCCGCAGAGCCACCTAAACAACTTGTTGTTTCTCCTATGTTGAGTCGTGTTCCGCAGCGAGTTCTTCTTCTTGCGAGTTGTGGACCACAGCACGGTTTGTGCTTGAACTTGAGTAGGTGCATGTCGTCGTAACTAGTAGCAAGCCGAGCTTCTCCTCGCACCAATGCATGCCACCGCTGCGCACATTTCCCGCACGTCCTTTCGCTCAAGCGGCACGGTTCAAAGCACCGGTAGCCGACCCGGTAGCCTGGCAAAGGACTCTGAGGCGGGCTGCGGGCTTAGACATATTACAATATTATAGAAGAGATCTGTGATGAGGACAGGAAACACGGTGTTGCATTGCCGTGGCGCTACCTTGCATTAAATCCGCATGGCCCTTTGCCTTGCAGGATGGCAGCGTCACTTGCTGAGCAGTTGGGGCAAGTGGTTTGCGCCGTGCGGCTCATTGCAGCTCAATTGCAGCTCCTGCTCAGCCGAGGTGCGAGTGCCTAGAAGAAGACTTCGAAGAGGGGCGGCCGCTCACATGGACCTATGTGGGCGAAGGTCTATCCAGAACACAGGCCTTTTCTTCCCCAGCCTTCAGTCAGCTGTTGAAAGGTAGAGGTGACTGGGCAGAGAAGACGAAGCTGGAGTTTGCCCGTGCCTTAGCTCACTCCTTGAGCAAGTTGGAGGCTCTTGTTTTCGGTTGTGAGACCAACAAACACTGACACTGGCATTTTACCGCCTCTTAGGTTGGCGATGGCAAAGGTGAGTTCATCAAGGAGCGTGTAGCGCGGCCGTGGGATCCCTGCAGGAGACCTCCCGCGCCCTGAAGCATCCCGCGCAAACCCCGCAGCCCTCGCGTACTCTCGCAAGTGCTTCAGCGAGGCTCTACATCGGCGTTTGTGGCTGCGCTTTCTTGTTTCTTCTTGCCGCAAGCCCAGCCTTTGCCAGCCTTGACTGTACACTATCTGTACACTCCAACTTGAAGCATCGTCTTATCCAGGTCCCGCTGCTGATCTGGTTTCTCTTCTTCAGGTCCTGCTCGTGTGACGGTTTTTTCTTTGTGAGCTGCTTCGTGATGTGTGATGACCCCGCCGCCCCAGAACTTTTCACGACACCGGTTCCGATATGCTGCTGCCGACGGCTTATGCAACGACATCGAAAGATGGTTGCGTCAGGGGTAGTCGGATGGACTTGTTTTCACCGAGGGGTCAGCCGATCTGTCAGTATCCAGCTTCCGGCCCATCAGCAGCAGGCCGTATGATCAGCGAAGCCATAGCTTGGTGATACTCTGAGTGACGGGGGACCACTTCGCCAATGACCCGTGGACTGGGTGGGCTTAGGATTCATGATTTCATGGTAGCCCTGCTCACCGATGGAGGTGCCGCCATTCTACTCGAGTCGCCGGGGAACCCAGACTAGTGTATTTCCGTGAGCCTCGCTTCCAGCGGTGTGTCCTTACCTAGGATCTAGTTGGAAAGAACTCAAAAGAGAAGCATGTAACCCTCTTCTGTGTGAATTCTGATGAATTTGCTGTCCTTCCTTTTTTTCCGCACTGGCTGATGCGAACACGCAGAGCTCGCATGTTTTCTTAGGTTGCATGAAAAAGAGCTAGCCAGCACACAGCTTTTGACGCAACGTGCGGTACTATCCCAGAAACCCTAGATTCTAGACGAAAGAAGAGCCTCAAGTTGGCACGGAGAAGCCGGAGAAGCCGATTGTTCGTCCTGGTCATGCTACAATGATGACAATGATTACAATGACTTCAATGTTCTAGCTGTTGGCGGTGTGCAGGTGGGCCGCGCTCGATGTGGATGCTGATGGCTATCTGCCACTCTCTAGTCTTCCCCTGTGCCTGGCTCAGAAGCAGTGCTGACACCACATGCTCCGGCACAATGCAAATCAATAAGTCAATGTAAGACCCGAGGTGGAAATCCCAGAACCTGTTCTCTGAAGCGGCGATCCGGGCGCTTAATGTGTCGGTACATGCCTTGGTGAAACTTGGTAGGCGCCGTTTGGCATTGTGCTTTGGGAACACATACTTTGACGAATCATGAACGTTGCAGCAAGGCGCCTGGTGGCGGCATGATGGACAACGATGCCTACATCGAGGTTGCTCTCCGCAGTATCGGAATTCTTGATATGGCAGGGGAGGCCATGGGAAGCCTGCCTCCAAGGCGCTGCGCGTGGGTGCTGTTCGATCAGACCGATGGAGCAATGGAGCCGGAGCCTCTTAACTCATGCCAGCCTTTCTTCGCTCAGCTTTGTCCCCTTCGTTGAGTAGCCGCGTAGTTGACTGCCAATTGCCAGTTGGCGTTGTCGTTGAGGCGTGGCTCCTTGCAGACAAGAACGGGGTGGCATCCTCAGACATCTGGCCACTTTACGATTCTGTGTGCCACTCCGAGGTAGGATGTGCATGTTGTGCCACACAGCAATAAGATGCCAGTGATGTAAGTCATGCGAGTGACGGAGAGATGCAGAGAGACCTGAGATCTGCGCCACGGCTCGCAGCGTCAGTCTAGCCATGGCCGTGCCTTTTGTCCCTGCTCGTCCCTCGTCGTGGGATGGGCCAGCGTGCGTGCACATGTTGCCTGACGCGCGAAGCGGAGTTCCAAGAGCTACCACGGCTGCCACGTATGCTTGATGCACCCCGAGCACCGCAACAGATGCAACCTGCGCCTACGCCTGGATTGGCTACTGGCACTTGCGTGGTCTGTCGGGAGGTTGCAGCAAACACAATGTGCCTTCCCTGCGGGCACTTGCTCATATGTTACAGATGTTCACTCCGCTATGCTTTGCCAAATGGTTCCTTACATCCAGATGTGCGATGTCCAACCTGTAAAGTCTCCGTCAAGAGCTTCCAGCGAGTATTTCTCCAGACAGTATCGACCATGACGAGGCGCAAGCACGTATTGTAGTCAGCTTCACAGGTTAAGGCTTTGTGGAAGCATGTCACGTTGAGTCATTGCTGGAAATGCTGAGCTCGAAATGCTGAGTGCTTGTGCATTGTCAGGCTCAATGAGATGGAGAGAGCACGGGACCTGCGGGACGTGTCTGCAAACAGTGGAGCTGTACCCAGCCGGCTTTCGTTTGCTTCCAGGCACAGAGCGCCCGTTCATCAGACTTAAAAGACTCGACCGACATGGATGATACGATGGTGTTTAGGTAAAGAGTGACAGTACGACGAGCTTTAACAAACAGTTTGTGTTGCTTAGGAGCAGGTTGGGCGACTCACGGTGCAGAAGCGCAAAGCCGCTTCATGTCTCCAGACTCGGAATGCGCCTGACCCAAAAAGCAGGGCACAGCCCATGGAGAAGACACATGCGCGAATGCCATTCTCTTGCCTCTCTTGCCTTTCTCTCTATCGCCTGATTCTGGCCGCTGCGCAAGAAGCGTCACGTTGCTTTTGTTTCGAGCCGAGATGCCGTCTTTCAGGATGATTTGGTCACCAAGTCAGAAATTGGAACCCTCCAGCGGGATGGGCCCTGGCCTTGTGCAAAGCAGCCAAGAGAGAGATGGGTTTAGATGGGTTTTGGAGCTTTGGGAGCTTTGGCAGGTCGTTTAAGGACAGCCTGGGGCAGCAGCTCTTCGCAGCAGACGCCAGCGGAGATGGGGCGTTGACTCGTGCCTCCCTCAGGGTCGCCATCTTTGTTTCTTACTGAGGAGTTAGGAAGAAACAAAGATTGGATAACACGAATTTTCCGGAGCAGTTCATAGAGGAAGCGAAGCAAGTAAGTTTTGAGCCAGTTGGGCTGCATGGCCCAGGAGAGGAATTCCAGAGTGGTTTGACGACCGTGCAGGTCTCAGATGCTCAAGTCTGCCCAGTCTGCTCAGTGCATAGCGGCCCAAAATGAATCGCGACGGATCGTGCTTTCCAAAGCTGGAGGTTGCAGCGGCCTCCGGCAGCTCGGGACCCAGCCTGATGCTTCGCAAAGCCGTGTAAGGAACAAGCCGGAACAAGCCTTTGTCATTCTTGAGGTGATATCGCCGCACTCTATCAGGAAGTGCGTTCGAAGCTACGGGCTAAGCCAACTTGAGCCCAAGCCCCGGTACGTGGTGCAGCGAATGCGTAGCATGTGAGGTACTGGCTGCCGGCAAAACGGAGCTATTGCTGCAATTACCAGGCGGGAAGAGAGGCGTTCCAAGCTTGTGGCATCAAGCACAGCCCTTGACAATGTCAACTCTCCCTCCCCGCTGGCAGGGCATCTGCTCCTTCGAGCCACCGCCGGTGACACCTACAACAGAAACTACGACTCAAGGCCCTTCATACAACTGCCACGCAGATTACGACAACAGATTGAGCTGGCTGCTGAGTTTGCACCGGCATTAGAAATTCAAGCCTGTCACATACTCCAGACACTGCTTTGATGGTTCATGTGACTCATGTGACATGCTTGGCCTAGGCTGGCCAGAGCAGAAGAGGGCGTGGTGCTGTGCCCGCTATCGCAGCACACCCAGCCTCTGGACCTCTGCAACATCCACCTTTTCCACGTTGAAGCTGCAACCGACCAACATTGTGCACTGAGACGTGGCCTGCTTCGAAGCTCCGACACAGTTGTACCACTGCGACCATGCCTATGGCAATTGGGAGACGACATGGACTCCCCACAAGAAGGCCCGATCTGGCCCGCCTGGAACATGTTGGAGAACTGGAGAACCCATGTTCCCAGTCACTTCCACATGAAGCCTGGTCGGATCTTGCTAGCAGCAGTGTCCAGGCGTGGTGTTGTTTCCACCTCGGCAAAGGCACGCCGAGACAAGCCACAAATTTTGCAAGAGAACCTAGCCGTGATTTTCGAGGCTGCAACTTCCATTATCACGACGACCACTACCACTACCACATCATCCACCATTATGACTGCCAAGCAGGTTTGTCCAACTGGAAGGCTTCCTGCCTTTGCGGGAGGGTGTGATTCATAGTGTCATGCATGTCCAGCAACTTGGGAGGCCGGATGGTCGGAGAATAAGAAATCCTGGCGGCAGCCTCAGACACCTTATTGCAACTTGATGTCCTTGATCGCAAATATGCGAGGTGCTGCCAACACGAAGGAACCGGATGCGTAGCCAAATTTGACTGCCATGCTGGTCTCGCCAACTGGCATGCTGGCTGGTCGCCGCACAAAAAGACTTGGTTTCGGCCCCGGAGGTGTCACCGCTGAGGACTCCTGAGAAAGTTTGGCTTGCTGCGATGCGCCGTTGCATAGAGCAGTTCTGATGCTCTCCGATGTTGTGTGCGGACGCTCCCAGGTGCTGCGGCCACTTTGGTCTTGGCTGTGCCGCATCCAAGCCCTTTGACTGTTTTGCGGGGCTGTCCAACTGGCAAGCTGGGTGGTCGCCTGCGAAGAAGTCGTGGCTCTGTCCTTAGCCCTCCTGATGTTGTGAAATTTCGTTTCGTGGCGAAGACTGAACATTTGGAACACGAACTGGCAGGTGCTGCGTGCACGAGGGCAAGGGATGCGAGAGTGGAGCTGCGGTACCCGCAGATGCTTCTGACTACCATCTTACAAGGCAGACGTATCACTATCATTATGAATGAACCGACAACGAGTATGAGCAACCAGCTGGGCTGAAGACGACGAAGCACGGGTCCGGAACCTACGAGTGGTTCCATCGTGCCGCAAGCTTGCGTCCTGTCAAATAAAGCAATATCTGGCCAAGGTGTAGAGCATAAGTGATGCTGGATGCCAAGTCTGCCCGAAGTTCAGGCCTCAAAACTAACAAGCAGCTGTAACACTGCACGATGCATGTCAGATCCTCCCGTGTGTCACATCCCTGTCACATGGAGAGAGGGCAAGATGTGCAGCTGTCCTGCTGTCAGTTCTACATCTTCAGGTTGGCAACGGCACTGTCGTAGTCGGCGACGCCTTGTTCAGTAGAGCTCGTTCTCCGAAAGCTGCGAGGACGCACCACACAAATGCAGGACCATCGTTCTTATTGTGCATGCTAGTGAGTCAAATGAAGCAAGCCGGTTGTCCCTACTTTCAGCACCAGTACATGCTTTATGGCTTTATGGTAATCATGCCGTGGCGCTGCTCTTTCTCTGGAGTCACAGACCCGCTAATTTATTTACAGCCGATTTGCAGCATTCTCCTGTAAAATGTGCAAGAAGAGATGCTGCTGAGGTGCATGCTGTGTTTTTTGCTGGGATGCACGATGATGGATGTAGCAGTGTAGCAGCCAGACCCAATGAATGCCACGTCTTGTCGTCAACACAGGTTTTTTGTGGAGCTTTTAACAGGCCATCTCCCAGCAAAATACACTGGCTCCTTTGTAGGACAAAAACACGAGATTTTCAGTTGTGGGCCGAACTTGACCTGCGAGCTGTAATGAGCTATGTATACCATGTACTGTATGACAACATGTGTGGATGGTTACCCTGGGCCTGGCATGGCTTGGCTGTCTTGCGTGGGCAGAAAGTCTAGAAAACGTGAGGGCGCCGCGCACGAGGACTGAGGATTGCGCCAATGTGTGCAACCGAACGCATGGCGTCGAAAAACGGCCCTTGGCAGCCTTCTTGGCCTGAGCGGGTGTTTGGCTGCCTCACGCGGTGGGACCATTGGGATGCAGCGGCAGAGAGAGAGAGGGAGAGAGAGCATTCTTGGCCTTGGGCAAAGCAAGGGGGGGCGAAGCACGGGGAGCGAAGAAGAGACTTCAAGGAGCACAAGGCAAGTCGGAATCGCAGGCTGTTGTTGCATGTTGCGGAGGCTTGGGGCTTAGTATAGCTTAGTACATCTCAATATATCACCATCATGGAGCCAAAGTCGTACTTCAAGACAGTCAAGATGCGGACAGAAACTTTCCAATGAATTCTGCATGAGTGGCATTGCTGTCGCCGGCCAGCGCTGCACAAAGGCGAGCATTGCAGTGCTGCTTTCGCGGGGTGCCTTTCAAGAACAGGGAGTGGTCTTCATGTACAGTGTGCGAGCCACTGCAAGTCAAATTTAGCTGCTGACGCGAGGCCGCCTCGGCAAGGGGACCGAGGCTTATGCATAATGCAGGGTTCATGGGCGGGGCTGAAAATGGCGCCGACAAGGGACCAACGGGGGAAGCGTGGCTAGAGGGGGGTTAGAGGGGTCCAAAAAGTGCGCAGGCCCAATCCCGGCACGTCGTCCGCGGCTGGACACTGACCGGCTATGTAGAAGGGTGGTACCCATTGCAGCATTGCGGGCCAGGGAAACTCGGCCGTGAGGTTTCCTAGACCTGGATCTGAACGCCTCAGGCCTCAGGCCTCCGCCTCGGCGGATTTTGGAGAGGCGTCAGACCTCGGCGGATTTTGGAGAGGCGTCAGACAAGGGTCGACAGCGTACTACAGGGTCCTCGGTTTGAAATCCACGTGGCCTGTAGCTACTTAGCTACTTCGTAAGATGCATAATGACGGGTTTATGCGGTTGATGCCATCGAACCCTAAACATGCAGAAACGACCAGGCAGTTTAATGCCACAATGATGGCTTCCGGGGGCGAAGAAGGATTTGGCATGTCAGGTGAATGCAGCACAATGGCATTGGTGACTTCATTGAGACTGCATCCTGTGCCGCGCGTCGCTCATCCTCCGGCCTTGACAATGTGATTCCGAGCACTTGCAGCCAAGGCTTCAATGATCTTCAAATGTTTTTGCCCTGAGGTGTTTTTGGAGCACCGCCGCTGTCCAAGACACTGTGGTACCCTCTTCACCGGCAAGGCCAAGTTTAGTTGCACGCGCATAGGTCAAGGTCTTGGACATTCCTGGCAGGAAGCGGCGCGCCATCTAGCTCACGAATGTCCCAATCGCAAGATGCTTAGACTCGCGCTGCGATTTAAAAAGTTAAGTGTCATGGACATCCAAAGGCTGCAAGTCATGGGGCTGAATGTTGCCGAGACAAAGCCAGCACTGACCGCGATTTGAACACTGCGATTTGAGCACAGCGATTCAAGCACGCGCGATTCAAGCAGTTCCAGCACTAATGATTGCAGCACGAATCCGATTCAACGCTGGCGATTCACGCGCACAGGCGGTTCAAGCACTGGTGGTTCGAGCAGGAAAACGCACCGTTCGGGCTCGTCATATCGTCGTCTCTTTCTAGGGTGAGGTTTAGGCCTTTGCACTCCCTGCCCCCCCCAAGTTGAGACAATGAGTCGTCGAGTGTGCGAAGCTACCCGTTTGCGAACTCGTGGTCTAGTGCACGAATCCGTGTGCGAATCAGTGTCCAGCCTTGCTTGAGCTACGGCTCTGGGACTGAAGGAAATTGGAATCCGGGCTTGATTGTCGTAACTTTCAGGGAGGAAGGTCATCGGATCAAAGCTCCTGACATTGCTCACTCGGGCTTGGACTCCTTTATCCTTGACAGCGTGCTCAGTTTCGCCATGTTGCTTCTGAAGCCTTCAACTGCTGTTCATGTTCAGCTTGTGGTTGCCAAGGGGAAGAGCTTTGTCCGTATGGATGTGGCGGCAGATTTCTGGGCCATGAGATTGATGGTCCTCTAAGCCATCTATTGTGACATGCGCAGCAAGTCGGCAAGCTCAGCATCACATGTCCCTGTGCCAGACGGTGGCGAACATCCACTTGAGTGCCCAATGAACCTGGCACTTGCGGTCGACTTACCCGCTTGCATCACTTGGCATAGTTGAGTTCGTGATTGAAGCATGCTGTGAAACTGTTGTGTAACTAGGCCAATGTGGAAGCTGCTCTTGAAGCCTCGGCGGTCAAGGCGACTGAACATTCGCCGCGCTTGTGTGCTTCGCAGGGGGCTGGGCAGGAGTATCGACTGTCACTGGAGAACGTTTATGCTGAGCGTTCTGGACTCAGCCACGGGATGTGCTCGTGACAGCACCAAAGAACAGGACTTCTGCACGGCGAGGTGACAGGGCTCGGGCGCGCTTCAAAGCTCGTGGAGAGAGAGCTGCTTCCTCAGGGCCTCCAGTCTTCGGATCGCACGGGGAACAACGTAGAGTTGAGGATCCTGGCCCGGTCTTCACGACGCCCCCGTGCCAGCAGCGTGTTCGACGTGCCGGACTTGAGTGCTGACGTGTGCAGTCAGGGGACCAGTGCAAGAAGCCCAAGGAGTGGAGGCCGAGGGTTTGAATTTGCTGGCCCGAGCTCGGCGCGCTTCCAAGGTTGGGGAGCCACATGCCACACCGTGCCACATCATTGTGCATCATCCGCATCATTGTATATCCTTGCACCATTACCCGCAGGAGAAGCTTCAGTGGGTCATTGCTTTAGCAGCTTTAGGACCAGCCTACACCTCAAGGTTGCTCTTGAAGTGTAGATGCTGAATGCTGAGCTTGTAGCTTATTCGGGAGCCGAGGGTGATGGCACCGCAGCATCGCAAGTGCGAGCAGCTCAGAACAGTTCTGCGCTTCACTCGGTGTTGAGCCGTGCCTTGTGCCAGGCCCCCGAGCGCCGCAAGGTACTGGGACACCATGGACGTCAGCAAGGAGAGAGACAGGAAGAGATGAGAGGATGTTCAAGCGCTGCAAGGCAGGATTCCTCAAAGGTGCTTTGCAAACACGTCGCAGGAGTACACACGCTCGTCCCGGCCCTGGGACATGAGTGCGCGCCGCCCCGAGCCTTCCACGTTTCTTCTCCCTATGCCAGCGTGAGACTCGACTGGATTTCAATCTAAATCCAAGTCCCATGTGGCTTAGCACACAACATGACACACATGTACATGAGGAGCAGCGCACTTGCGTACGCTACCGCTGCGACGCTAGCAACCTGCATCTCGGTTTCGTGGCCGTTTTCTCTCTTTGCAGAACCCGTCCTGGAGCCTGTCCTGACCCTTCATGCTTGCTTACCCTTGCCTGCTCGGCTTCTTAAGTCCCCACAGACATCCGCAGAGTCCGCAGAGTGCTGGGTTGGGGGCACATGGGGGGCGCTTTTGCCACATTCTCAACGCCCCGCAGCAGATAAAGACAAGAACAGCAAGGGATAGCTACAGCATGCATTGCTGCTACAGCTTGAGCAGTGCTAAAGCTCGGGAAGTGCAGGCTTAACCCGCTGCAAGGCCAATTCTCGATCCGCTGCTGCAAACCTTACAAGATGCCAGAATTTGCGGTCAGACCCTCGAGAGCATGGCTTGGATTGCTCACCCAGCGTTTTCCCACAACTGTTGAGATGCAAGGCGCTGACACAAAACTCCGCCGAAAAGCAGAGGTGAGGCTTTGGCCGAGCAAGCGCAGCACGTAGCGGTAGTGTCGAGACCTCTACCGTTCCAGCCATTCCAGGCTCTGCTGTTTATGGCAGTGCGACGCTGCCTTCAGGTTGTGATCGGCCCATGTCGGCCCATATGTCCCTTTCGCATGTGGATGTTGGGCAGGCAGCATTGGCGACAGAAGTGAACAGAGGCTTGCCCATGCTTGTTGTGCTTGTTGCCCATGCTTGGAGACTGGAGCTGAGCTGGGGATGCGAGGTGAAGCTGTGCGCGAGTCTTTAGCCATTGCCGATGAAGCTATGCAGCTCTGCGAACTGGAGGACTGACAGATGCTGAAGTTGTCGTGGCACATGCTAACAGCCCGTATTGTGTAATTTGGGCCATGTGTGAGGACCCTGGAGACTTACAAGACCTGTGCTCCCTCGCTGAGAAGGAGGTGGGCAGCAGAATGGCACAGACATCTGCTCGTTCATCTAAGTGCAGGTGCTTCGCACAACGCTGAGATCCCTGGAGTCCACCTGTAAAGAATTCCACCAAGCGGTGAAAGATGGTGACGTGCCAGGGCTGAACCCTGGGAACATGACGCTCTTTTGTTCGATTCCTTTCCAGAGTTTCCTGCCTGGCATGCGCAGATCGAGCTTGTCAAGTGGATGCTGGACAGGGAAAAGGTGGGGTTCGCAGAGATGAGCATGCAAGATGAGTGAGTGATTCTGGATGTACACAGCCAGCCTCCGCTAGGCGAACCCCTCCATTACTGACCCGCAGACGGGTATTCCGCCATTGGTCATGGCTGTGAAGGTGTCGCCCTGGCCAGAGCGTAACCGCAATCACCGGCAGAACTGCGACAAAAAACCGAAATGTCCTGGAAGCGGAGGCCGGAGACCTTGCCATGTGCGAGCTGCTGTTGGACCGTGGTGCTGACGTCGATGGGCGATGCAGCACCTCTGCCGATCTTCCAGCTCGCGGATCAAACCGTTGCAGCGCAACCCAGAGAACTCCTCAGGCTCAGATGGCACCACTTCCTTGCATTGGGCCTGCCACAGCCGAACGTTCCGCGTCGACGCCTGGCAGCAACTGTTCGGTTACAATCGACGGGTGGGTTTCTGTCACCGACCATATTGGTATGCATTGGCGCACTGGTGTGTGTTTTTGTGACAAGCAGTAGAATCGGTAAAATCTGCTAGCGCTGGTGGTGAATTTGGGCAGGGCGAAGAGCAGAGACGGTAGCAGCGCAGATGTCTGTAAGTGCTTTCTTGCTCGGGAGTTTCGTTGAACTCTGTTGCTCGCGGAGGTCAAGCTTCTCCTGGACCGGCGTCAGAACCTGAATGCAGATCTGTTGTGAGGAGTCGGAAAACGTGCAGGAACCGATAGTAGCCTCTGGACTCCAGGTGCCAATCCACGGCTCCAGGACAAGCGTGGGCACGATCCATTGGTTAAGTTGGCCAAGCCCTTGGGTTGTCAAATTTCCTCTTATTTCCTCCCTGCCGACAATCCTGGACATAGTTCTCTGCGCTTGTGAGGGTCAGGTGTGATGCCGCGTGCACTCTTAAAGTCTTAGGTCAGGAGGGATTTCGCCACTCCTGCAGATGCTTGTGCCAGTCACTCGAAGCGTCACGCGAAGCTAAAGCTCTGCTGTGCGCTTCGTCTGCGGGCCTCTTCCGCATAGCTCTGAGGCCCTCTCATGGCATAGGCAAGACTCGCACCTTTTGGCTGGGCCCGAGCTTGGGCACAGGACTGAGAAAAGTCGTGCATAGGTGCGGAAGGGTCGGCCAGAATCGACGGATGTCAGCCAAAACCAGGGGCTCTGGCTTCATGAGCGTCGAGGCCGCAAAGGCCCACGAGAATGGTTTCAACCGACCTTTCTCGCATCCCGTCGCGAAGATGCGCAGGTGGCGGCAGAGAGCAGTGATTGCGTGGGCTTCTCCGTCCACGCACTTTCGCCTGGTGGCGAGTGGTCTGAGGAGACTGAAGCTCAGCTCTTTCTTATGCATATCTTATGTCTTATGCATCAGCAAGGAGAGCCCGGTGTCCTTTGCTTTTGTGCTACCTGTGCTATGTTTTGCTTGTCCTGTGTTGGTGGCATGACACGCGAAAATGTGCTGCCTGTGTCTGTTGCTTTTGTTACCTGTGGCGATTATTGGCACGGCCTATGTCTTTATCTCTTGCTTCGGACGGGCTTTTGGGGCTTTGGGTTTGCAAGGCACAGAGCCACGAGACCAGAAACCCGAATGACATGGGGCACGATCCTAACTATTTCACCTGATATGCCCTCGATCCGTTCCGGCAGAGGAGGTGACTCATGAGCAGACAAAAATATGAAATTCGGATGCGGGAAAAACGTTCAACATTAGGTGGGGTCTAGAAAGATATTTAGCATTGGGCGGGGGGTCTTTAGCACTAGGGGGTAGGGATTCAATAGACTGAAGTTGGTTGGATTCAGTTGTGGTTGTGAGTGCTGGGAGTTTGGGAACGCGAGAATTCGGATCGCGAAGGTTTTGCATGTGCTGCAGGTGGAGTCTTGCAGTCTTGCATCAACTTGATGGAAAGCTGGGCGCACCTGATTTGCTAGAGATGGTGTCGAATTCAGGACAGGCCCCTCGAAGGAGTCACAAAATGCTGTTCTGAAGACTGGGCACGAGGTCAAAAAAGCTGTAGGTTTTCGGGCTGGCCATCAAAGGGTCAAAAGCTGTTGGCAATAAGGCTGGGCCCGGAGTCGATGGGCGGGTGGGCGCTTCTTCCCGGCTGCTACTTACGCGATCTCCGCTCTTAGAGAATCCTGCGGTATGGGGATAGGCATAGTGCAGACGAAAGCTGCAGATTCGACGTGGCAAGCCCCCACACCCGGCAAAAAGACGCAGGTAGCAAGAAAAGAGTGCTTGTAGAAGAAGGACGCAGATCGCATTTTCGGCGTCAACAAAGCACAGCTTCAGATGTCTTTCCAGGTGCTTCCACATCACCCTGCACGGTCCTGGGCGCGCGTCTGCCATGCCAGATGCTGCAGCAAAGGCAGAGGAACTCCGAGCGCGGCTACATCATGTACCTGAGTCGGTTGAACAGAATTGCAGCTCGAGGACGAGGCCTCTGACCTTGTTTGGTCGCATCTGGACCCTGCGTGGACTTCATTCTTGAAGGCATCGACTAAGGCAGGCGATGGCCAATGCTGCTGGTCCATGTTACTGTGCAGGTCAAAAACGATCCAGCCCATGACGTTTCTGCTCTTTTGGCAGTGGGAGCAGATCCTTGTGCAGAGGTTGCGGCATTCAATGTCCCAAAGAAAGAGTGTGCAATGAGCGCATGCCGTAGGACTTGAAGGGCCTGACGGCTTTGCATCATCATCTGCTGCAGTCGCCTTAGAATGCTTGCATACCAATGATGTCGCCTCGAACCTGTGCTGAATGCTTGTTCTACCGAGAACAGCACCTGGTGGTGGCTGTATTGCATGCGTCTCGGCACTGCTACGAGGCTGTAAAGCGGGAGGGGCGAAGAGGGGGCTGGGCCAGAGTGTCTTAGCGCAGGCGGCGCCGATGTCAACCATCGAGACAGCGGACCGCGCCAAGCAACCCCTTTCATCATCGTCATCCAGAACAAGCGGGCAGACTTGGTCTGCCCCCTAAAATTGGACCTTAGCGAGCTGCTTTATGTGCCCTTGCAGCCAGTGGCAGTTTTCCACAGGTTAGCTTGATGCTCAAAGCTGCTTGGCCCACTCCTGATGTCGACAGCAAGGCCGCTGCAAGATGTCAGGCTCTTCGGCAGACCCGACTTCTTTGCAGGCTCCAGATGGCACCTGCGCTCTGGCACTAGCTACTGCTCTTGGGGCTCGAGAGGCGACGGCACAACAGCACCGCATTCGCTGCATCGCCGAGCATGTTGAGTTTATCTAGGGCTGTCGCCCAGAGCCGCGTGCCACGCCCCAGATCGGTCGACATGTCAGGTGCCAGTGAGGTACCGAGCGCGCACGCTTGCTGCCCTAACTTTGGGCTCGTTTCACGGCACCGAACCTTCTGGACCCCAAGCGCATGGACGTAACTCAGTATTGACAGCTGATGCATCATGATTTCTCATGATGCTGACCGCGTGCAGGGGATGGAAGTCCTCCCCAAAATTTTGAATGTCGTCCGCGCTTTCGGGCTCCCAGCTGATGCTCATGATGCTCGCACTGGTAGGGATGCACCACTTGAGAAAAGATCTAAAAGCTGGTCCGCGACTAGGCCGCCACCTCGGGTACAAAAGCTTGGATGCCGCTGACGCCAACCAGAAACTTAACCGGGGCATGCTTGGGCCAGGGCAGGCAGAGGTCTGTGACCAAGTTTTGACTGGTCGATGTGGGTCCTACCGCCACGGTCGGCGGATTGCTTGCGTTACTGACTTTAGCTTAGCAAAGTCTCGCTTCGCGCAGATTGCGGACATGCTTCGGAAGGCAGGCGCTTCTGACTGGGCCACTGCCTCAGTGTCTCGGGCATCGAGCGACCGCAAACGGGGTCTGCACCGCCTTTGCAAGGCCGATGCAGAGCTTAGACTGGGCAGCAGGCCTGCTCGTACAGACGAACAGTGGTCAGGATGCACGGGTTGGCTGCTCTGGCTTGACTTGTTTGACGTTGCCAGGACCATCTTCTCTTATGACACCCGGAAGCCTCCAGTGAACAATTGAGAGACTCCTGCCATTTCAGATCTCATCTTGCCCGAGCTCTTGGTCCAGTCCCGCAGCCTTTGCCTTCAGTTTCCTTCCCCTTTTACTTGTCCGTCCCTATCGAGTCTCTGTCTCGTCGCACGATGTCGCAAGTTTCACTGCAAGTCTGCATCTCCACATGACGAACATCACGCCGTGAGCGGATGTGAGTGGGAATTGGCATTGCTCCCATGATCAAAACCGTTTTAGAGCTGCGCTAGCAAAGTCGTAGCACCTGCACCATCCTTCATTGCACTGCCTCAGCTTGAAATTTGATAGTTTTCCTGCGGCCGCAGCCCGGCTCAGATGGGCTCTGGTGGGGCCGTGGGTCGGGCAGTTGCTCGGGGCGCGATCGGCGCAGTGCCCGGGCAGTGTGCGGGACTTGTGATTTGCTATCAGAGTAGGTGGTGTGGTTGTGTGTGGTGTGTGTGTGTGTGTGTGTGGACCTCTCTCTGTGTGTCTGTGTGTGTGTGTGTGTGTGTGTGTGTGTTGACCCCTGTGTGTGTGTGTGTGGACCTGTGTGTGTGTGTGTGTGTGTGTGTGTGTGAGTGTGTGTGTGGACTGTGTGTGTGTGGTGTGTGTGTGTGTGTGTGTGTGTGTGTGTGTGGGTGTGTGTGTGTGTGTGTGTGTGTGTGTGTGTTGTGTGTGTGTGTGTGTGTGTTGTGTGTGTGTGTGTGTGGCCTGTGTGTGTGTGTGTGTGTGTGTGTGTGTGTGTGTGTGTGTGTGTGTGTGTGTGTGTGTGTGGTGTGGGTGGACCTGTGTGTGTGGTGGACCTGTGTCTGTATTGGGTGGGTGGGTGGTGGGTGGGGGGGGTGGTGATGTGGATGGGTGTGATAGGGGTGATGGGGGTGCAGGGGGGTGCAGGGGGGTGCAGGGGGTGATTGGGGGTGATGGGGGTGATGTGGGTGGGTGGGGGTGATGGGGGTGGGTTGGCTGATGTGGGTGGGCGATGTGGGTGGGTGGGTGGGTGAGGGGGTGGGTCTGTGGGCGCGTGGGTGAGTGGGTTCGCGGGTGCGTGGGTGCGTGGGCGCGTGCGTTCAAGCAGTCCAAGTCCCTCTCAGGCCAGCAATGGTACTGGAGAGCCGACTGGCTCAAGTCTCAGATATTCTCACACACACACACAATGCGTGCAGGCTTGTACTGAAGCCCTGACCTTCCAGGCTGACCTGCTACAAGGGCAGGCCAAAAAGTTTATTCATGGCTTCAATGCGGAGCACCTCAATCTAGGCTCGGGGTGGCTGCCGTTATGTTGCTGTTCCATTCAAGCTTCTTGTGCGGAAGGCCTTTTAAGTGGCTACCTAGAGCTTCGAAATTTGGTGCTGGACTTAGGTTCAAGCTTTGCGAAGTGTTTCCTTCCATGTATTTGCCCTTCCTTGTGAAGATCATGTTTCTTGTAGGCGCTAAACCCCGAGCCTGTCGATGAGCTGATGCTCGGGAGCGACCTGCCTTTTGTTCTGAAGGCCTGAACTCTGATGAGTCTGCATGAATCTGCATGAATCTGGACATTGGGTGAGAAGAGTCAACATGCACTCAGGCAGGAACGCTTTCCTCGGCCATGCTGCAGTTGCAGCCCAGCTGCAGCAGACGAGTAAGAGCGGCCTGGCTGAGAAGATGCGATGCAGCCATCCAGTGCCAGGTCCATCATACAAGGCGAACTGGAGATCATCGTGGACGGGCGATGGCCTTGGTATGCCCTGGCTTCATATCCTGGCAGTCGATCGCTGGCTTTATCATGATGTAGCCACTAAGTCACTAAGCTTTCCAAGCTTGGAGGCTTGTCCTCGTGCTTGCTCCAGCATGCAGATGGCTTAGCCGAGAGGAGGCCGGACCATCGACAGCCCTTGCAGCATCGTGCAAAGTGTTCCACGGTGTTTCGCTAGAATTGTGTTTTAATGCGACAGGTGTACCAGCACCGCACCAACGAAATGGAACGCTTAGAGCGGACAGCCAAGTCATGCCAAAAATGCAGGGGAGGCAGCAGCATGATGGGCTTTGCATTGGCAAGGTTTGTGCACATGCGGAGCCAGACCCAACGGCGGACCCTAGAACGCGAGATGTGCACCTGCCTTGTCATTGCAAGCTTTGAGGCTGACTTCTTCCAACTACCGTTTCTACCCTTGTGTGGTGCCAGGTTTCGGAAATTGTTTGCTGATTATTTGTCGCGCATCAAAATCACAGTGCGCACCTCAGTCACTGTTTCACGACACCTTCGGAGCAGCATGTGACGGCATTGGGCTCGAGGTCAAAAATGTGCATGTGAGACTGGAGATCGAGGGCGAGCTGGTTGATGGTCCCTCAGGCACCGGGATTCTTCACTGTTGACGGGCTGCAGTGCCGAATGATGCTGACCCCCTCGTGATGTGCTGCTGTCAGAGTGCGTATCGACGCGCAATTTCATTGTTTGGTCGGAACATGTCGGAGTGCAATGCAGTACAACTGCTTTTTGCGCATGTCAGTTTTCTCTCTGTGATAGGGGGGGGGGGGGGGGGGGGGGGGGGGGGGCGGCCCACAAATTGAACATTGTGAGGCCCTCCGCTGGCTCTTGGATTGCTGGTTTCTGCGTGCGATGTTACTCCTGCCGCGTCCCCAGCAACACAGTATGAGCATGTTTGTTCATGTCCGAACACCCACCGAACAAAAAACAACTTGACCATCCCAGGTTGCTACAGAGAACCAGAATGGCGAGGAGACTTTGGAAAGTGTGTCAGTTTTCGGCTGGTGGCGAGAGTAGTGCTTGCTCCAATTCAACAGGAGGTTCGCAAGTCTGAGCTTCTGCTGGCCGAAAATGTTAGTCTACGAGGTTTGCAACTCTACCAAGAATTGGCAGGCTCGCTTGTGCAGCTGTGTTCCATAAATAGCCATCCATCGGCAACTACGTGCCCAGGCGCATCGCAAGTGCATGTCGCTTGGGATGTGTACCAAGCTACACGATCAAGCGCTGGACTCATGGGATCCATTCTTCTTGCATTTGTATGTTTGCACGTTTGTGGCTCTGAGGCGACTTTGGAATCTTCCAGAAGCTTTCTCAAGCCGAGCGGGAGACCTAGTGGTGCCCGCGAGACCTAGAAGACCTCAAGGACCTCAGAACGGTCAGGTTGCGAGCGCAGTGTCGTAGACAGTTGCCCGGAGTTGCTCAGTGAGGTTTGTGCGTGCGCTGAACCAAACGCGAGATGCCCACCTGGCACTGCCAGCGTGCCGACAGCCCAACACTCAGTTGATAATCTGCATAATCTCGGCATTGCACGCTTGACAGGAGCTCTGAAATGTAGCGCCGGAAAGCTGAGAAGATTTCGCTTGGAGTGTATTCGCCAGTGCTTGCCGCAAGTTGAGCCGCACTTGCAGGCTCATGCCGTCCACAGACATGGCCATCAAGGTGGACCTGAAGCCGACGAGCTTAGCAGAGACAGTCTGAACTTCACTGAACTCCCACAAGATTTCTCTTTTTGATCACATTTGTTCCATTTTGCCCGCTTGCCCAAGGTCCCAGGCATTGTACACCGACTGTCATGTGGAAAACTGCTTGACACTGGAGGCAGGCGCTCCGAGCCCTCATATCATGCGACGCAGGTACAGTGCAATTCCCGTGCTTGCAGGTCGCCCTTTGCCTGCAGAATCTTTCTCGATTTCGTTTCACGGCGCTGAGCTTGTCAGTTCTTTCCGTGCTTTTGGCAGGCACACGGTTTTGGAGAAGTGTTTGGCTTGTTTCTTTGCCCAGGCCAGCATTGTCGAAGGCATCCGTTGGCTTGCCAGTGACCTAATGTCATGTGCAGCCATGTGAAAACACACTGACGAAAGGCAAAGTCCAGCTTGTTTCTTCTTTTGGGGAGCTAAGTTGATGAAGTTGAGGTCCGAAGGACTTTGGACTTCCAGATGTGGCCATTCCTGCATGCGCTGCCAGAATCTTATGCGCCTGCATGCAAAATCATGTGCAAGATTCCAAGATTCAGCTTCAACTCATCCTCGTTTTGGTGGGAGGCATGGCAAGCCTGCCAATGGGCGTGGCAGATGGCATGCCGGCAGCAAATGTCAGCAAGCACTTGGGCAATGGCCAATGGCTAGCAAATGCTGGCACCTGCTGAGTTTCCTGATTTCCCTCTTGGCAGGCACGTAATTCGCAGCTTCGTTGCCCTAAAGCGGCGAATACAGTCGATTCTGGGCGGCATTCATGACATATGCCGGGAGTTTCCATGTTGAGACGAGATACAAGCAAGTCCATTGAAGGAATGCCTATGCGCTGCAAGATGCAATTCGAATGCGAATCAACTGCAAGGACAGCTGAAAACTGTGGACTGACTTAACCCTGAGACGCTGTTTGACGCAACTTTGCCAGCTTCGTGCTGCCTTCGAGGAGTATATCCGGTTGTACAAGAAAAAGTTCAATGGTCCTCAGAGTACTTTTGCCTGGCGTCGATCTCTCCCAGCGTTGACGGCAGAGGAAGTGCGACGAAACCCACGAAATCCCCAAATATCCCTTATTGTCCCCTGCCTATGGCAGCCTATGGCTGCAGGATGCAACAACACTTGGCTTGATTGAATTGTCCTATCCGGCCGACAAGCTCGTCAACTTTCGGCATCGCGCTTGCACATAGATTTGTCTTTGCCTGGGACTGGCCAAGCTGGTCAGTGCTACCGCGAGGTTAATGGCACAGACGGAGATGAAGACTGAAACCTCCATCAATTGTTATGCGGAAGAAGGCCCCGGTTCACCTTCTGACCGGCTTTTGTTCATGCCGCAAATCCGGTTTTTGCCAGGGGCCATGCCTGCAAGGAGTCCCAGGCATCTGAGAATCTGAGGGACTTAGCAAAAGCATAGTCCTCGAGTCTGCACCTGGTGCCAGGTCGAACCTGTCCTGGCAGGCACTGAGCCATGTGGGCCATGTCTCATTGCCACGTGAACTGAGCAATAAGGCTCTTTAGGGCAGTTAAGCGCAGCAGGTGCGCGAGCTCACGCCGATGGAGCAGCTCCATTTGCACGGCCAGCTTGGAGCTTGGAGCTGTCAGCGGCAGATGGAGTTCCATTCTGAGTGGGTGAGCGAGTGAGACTGTTTTGGAAAGCGCGGCGCCTTGCCAACAGGCATGGATTTGGGACAAATATTTTCCGCTCGGCGCTTGGAACTTTTCCATCGTTTCATGTGCCCATCCCACCCTCCCCACCCGCTCCTTCCAATATTGGGACCTCGCGGCCTGGCACCGTCTTGGCAAGGCGGTTTGCCTCCTCCGCCATCAAACCTGAAGCCAGGGACCAAAGTTACACGAGACCGTCACTTTGCACGTTGCGTCTCGAGATGTCTCGAGTGAGGCGATATAGCCTTATGTGTAGCCTTACATGGTTCATGGCCAGGGTCCGCATCGACATCGTCGCCCCCGACGGCTTATGGTGGGTTTGCAATTTGGGTCGCGTGCTTGGATGTGTGATCTTAGGGATTTGGTGGCTTGCAAGTGTCACACGTCGGACTGTATTTTGAGCAAGCACCTTGCTCCCGGAAGGTACGGCAGAGGGACCCAGACCAGCTGATGGCAGTTGGGCTGCGCTGTGCTTACAAAGTTAAATTTTAAAGTTGTTTGGCACATCATGCCATGACCGGATGTGATGGATTGTCCTAAACCAGGTGGCTGCGGACTCACGGCAGCCCATACGACTGCTCTTGGTTGACAGCGTCGCACTTGGTGAAGTTGTCGAATGGTGTGCTGCTTCAAGTTTGGTTTTCACCGTATCGACTATTCTTCAGGCGTCACGGACAACAGCCGAGGCCTTACAGCCAAGGCTAAGACGTTCGGAGCTTTGGGGTCAGGCTAAGCAAAGGTTGCAGAGGTGTCGTGAGTCTATGTGTCGTAAGGTGTCTTCGCCACTGTGGAAGTGCCTCGTGCAAAGAGGGGGGACCGTCCAGTGGCCTTGCTGCTCGGGCGGACAGAGGAGCGCTGTGAAGAACAGCTTGGGTGATGTGTGAAGTGCAGAACGAAGTTCTCCAGGAGGCTTTTGCTTCCGGCTCTCCTGGCCGACGAGTCGGCCTCGACGAAGGCGGATGCGGTTGCTTAGGGAATCCTGATCCCCTTCACGGGACCTCATATAGATACAGGGCGTTTTTCATTGTAAGGGAAACATGGTTCATAGCATTTAGACGAAGACACACAGCATAAGAAGAACCACGAACCCACCCTCCGTGAATGGAGGTTACCATCTTCCGTTTATGATATTCTTATAATTACAGTTAAAGTTGTAACGTTTCCATGCTATCTGTTGTTTTCCACTGTTTTACTGCTCCACAAACAATATGATATCAATACAGATGTGTTGTGAATGATCAGATTTTTGTTTGTCAGGTGTGCACAAATTATAACGAATTTCCAAACACAAACTTGTCATCAATGATTGAAATAGAATTCTCAAATTCAATTTTTCATGTAAGGCAAATTAAGCATGTACTTATGACAATGGAGAAAAGAATGACGCCTAAAGGCCTAAAGGTTTCTCTAGCAAAAGCGATCGAGGTGTCTCTAGGAAAACCCATTGAGGCGCTTGTAAATAAAGGGTTTCCTCTCTCAATGTAAGTGAAAATCAGTATCAGAGAGGCGAGAAGGCTGCCGACAGCATGACGCATGCAGCTGAAGCATGTGCCAAAATCAAAAGTAATCAGTGCAGGGCACAGTGCAAGATTGTGTGTCTGGTGCGAGGCCAGGGGGGCAAAGGCGCAGCAGAGCAAGAGTCTTGGCGACTCTCTTGATGACCCGTTTGAGACATTCGTAGAGAGCTTTGTGGACAAAAGCCCGAGGTGGTGCTCAGTGCTGGAGTTCGACGGCTCCATCTGCTGCTGGGGACAGGTAAAGACGGTGCCAATGTGCGCTTCCCACAGTCCCTGCCCTACGCAGCCTTCGTGCGCTGTCTGCGCTGTTCGTGAGTTTTAGTGACGGCTTCACGTCGACCTAACACAGCAAGCATTGCATCGTTAAAGCAACGGATTAGGCCCTTGGGACATCTTTGCCAGCTTCAGCTGTGGCTCCGCGATTGACCACGAGCTCCGCCGGAGCGACACCAGCTTTGGGAGGACGTGACAGCCACATCAGGGCCACATCTGTCACCGTCTCCTCGGCCAATCTTTGCAGTTGCACTGTGCTCAGGATCTCTCCAATTGAAGAGGTTGTCAGCGGCTTTTCGAAGCTCGCCGCCCAGCGTGGTAGAGCCAGAATCCTGAGGAATGTTGTATTCATTGTATTGTTGGGAAGTTGGCTGCAGCACTGACTTGCTGCAGCACTGACTTTGCAGGCGAAGCAGCAGCACAGCAAGCCATGCTTCAACGCGCCGACACCTCAGTGCGCAGGCATGCACATCTTCGGCCACAGGCAGGAATTCCAGCGATAACGCGGGAAATCGCAGAGATGTATGAAGACCCATGAAGATGTTTTTCGGCAAGTTGCCGCTCTCCCCATCTGCTGAGGAGAAGAGGACGCCTACGTGAGGCTGAACTTGCCTCTCCGCATGGGCAGCGGACAGGCCAGAGCCTGGATCGAGACGCTTAAACTCTTAAGACTACCCGCAGCTGTAAACAAGAGAGTTTGGTCTGTAGCGGCTGAAGCTGCAGGAGGGCCCCCTGGTAGAGTTCTTGCGCTGGTGCCTGACTCTTTCGCAAAAGTTGACGTGGCCATACACAGGCATGGCAGCATGTGCTTCTCTGGACTCTTGCATTATCTGGAACTGCTGATACTGTGCACAGGATCCCAGTCCGCCCTGGCCTACTTTGCTGTGCTGGCGCGGAGCCTGGCATGTTGTTCCTGGATTCTCCGAATTCTGCTGGCGGCTCTCCGACGTTTTTTGAAGTTGTTTGAGCATGTTCTGGACACCTGGCAAGATCTAGGTCCGAAGTGGCTATGACCTTGCTGCACTTCGAGCACACCTCTCCTTGCCGCCGCTCCTACTGAGAGGTACCGTTGTGGCCGCCCTGAAATTCCCTACATCTCTTCGATTCCGATCCCTTTGTTGCCAGTGGCTATTGGTGGATAGGTGTCAGCAGCGTGAGCAGCGCCGACGTGGAGCCCGAGAACGCCACAAAGCCGCTGTGCCTGCCGCGACTGGAGGCGGCCTGCCACGTGGAGCACGGAGGTCTGGTCAGAAGCCTAGAGTGAAGAAAGGAGGCAGCTCAGACTCGCAGTGTGGCCCGGGTTCACACTCCCAAAGCTCGGTCGCTGAGGTCGATGGCTTTGTCGTGGGAATGCACAACCTCTACAACTTCGCCAACATGGTGGCCCTTTAGCTCAGTGTAACAAGACTGCGGCTGTGAGCGGGTTTGCGCAGGGGGAGAAATGCTCCTTGCCCAAGGCGATGATGCCAGCAATGAAGCGCCCGCAGGCCCTGAAGGGTAGCCATCTGCAAAATTTGCAAGTTTCAACGAATCCCAACCCCCCCAGCGTTCCCTGGATTGTACTCGGGAGCCTATACTACGCTTCGGAAGATCAATTGAAGGTGTCAAAGCCCTTAATACGGGAAACGCACGCGTATTCAATCATTGGCAAATCCCTATATACAACGCGCCGACAAATCACACACATCAGTATTGAAGACAACAGTTCAAACATACTTTGCCATTGTAGGTGCAGGCCACCAACAAGAACTGCATCAAAAAGCGGTGAACCCTGTCAAGAAACTCGTCATATACGCGCACTATGTTTGCAAAGGGATTGCTGCGCTGATGGAAACAGAGGTCTCCTTTTCTGAACATGTAGTAGAATCAATGCGTTTCCGAAGGTGAGTATGTTAACCATATATGGTCACCCCCTCCACTAAAATGTACACAGCAAAACTCCAGCCAAACTCCAATGAGTCTTTGCTGGAGGCGGCCAGCACGGTCCCAGTCCCGATGGGTCGGCGCCACGGCAGCGCCCGGGTGCCCAGCGGGAAAGGCGCTATTGAAGAGATTTTTGCTCGGCTCTACACGGAAAAAAACGCCAAGAGAACACAAGCTTGGTACAAAGCCGTTATCACATAGCGACGCCAAGTGAGACAAGGGGAAGTGATTAAGTGATTAAGTGATTAAGTGATTAAGTGATTAAGTGATTAAGTGATTAAGTGATTAAGTGATTAAGTGATTAACTGACTAAGTTGCTCAGAGGCCTGGAATGGAATGTGCCACGTGCCCTTCTGAGGCCCAACCTTTGTCGCTCGAACCGCTGCAGCAGGCTTCGGGATAAGCCAACTCACGTTTACGGACGGTTGGACGGTTGATGACGGTTGATGACGGTTGTATCTGGGTACCATGAGTCGATATTCCCAAGCCTTGGATCTGCGAAAAGGTGAGCCATGGTGAGCCCCTTACATGTGTAAGGTTGCCAAGACATGTTACATGTATCTGTCATGGTCTGTCATTTGAACTCAAATCGATGGGCACCCGCGTTTATGCGGGTACCCACCCCAACGTACACACCTCAAGAGGATGGTACAAAAACACGCTAAGCAGCCACTAAACACCTGCTTCCCAGTGCAAGGCTCCACCGGTGCTGCTGGCGATGGGAGCGTTGCTGACGGCAATGGCGCTGGTGCTTTCCGGGCTTTCCGGCTCCGGGCCCTGGCATAGTGCGAAGAGTCAAACTTATTTTCTGAGCATGTTGCAGACAGCATTTTGCGGCAATTTTGCAGCATGTTGCCAGTTTGTTTCTGCTGGGCCTGGGACTGAGGTGGTTGCAAGAGGCAGGCGACGAACGTCGCAGCGTCTGCAGCGGAGATGCGACGCTGCAAGCTCAGATTCGGTGTTGGCTTGAAGATGAGTTATGATGTCAAAGACAGGTGGGCTAGAGTCGGTGCTCGACTTTGCCTGATGTTTGGCCTCGCTCAGGAGCTGAGCTGCTTGCCGTGACCCAACACCATGGTCGGGACCCTGGCAGACCAATGGTGCATCGTATACCCGTGTTGGACCAAAGCTGCTTTTGCAAGGCCACACAGTCACACATATTCATCAGACAAACAACCAGCTGGCTGGGGTAGAGGTCACAAGTGACACCCGACAGAAGTCACAAGTGACCCGCCTAGTGCTTTTGCGGCTAGTCGCCTCATGTTGCCTCATGTTGCCTCGCCCAAGGCCTAGCAGGGTGCGTTCCCCTCTCAGCTGGCCCAGGCCTTCCTGTGAGCATGTAAATTCGCGACATTTCACGACATGCGTGCTGGCAGTGCATCTTTCAAGTCGGCAAGATTCTACGCTATGGCAGCATGATTAATTTGATGAAGTGACAGGTGATCCACTTGCAGGTATCACGTTGATGTCCACATTGCGGGAGCCTTGAACGACGTGCAGCTGGCTCCATGTTCTTTGGTTCATGTTTGCCCAATTTGTGCAGACCACGCTGTTTTGGCCGTCAGCTTCCATAGAAGCAGAGCCCATGTGTGAACAAAAGCAGTGTTTGTCAACATGATGTCAGGCGTTACTGTATCAGGTTTATATAGGTGGTTTAAGGTGCCTGACGTGCCGTAGGCACATAGCAATATCACGTGCATCAAGCCGAATCTAGCCCTAGCGACAAAAATGCGGGCCACGCTCCCGGCAGCTCGCTTTACAGCACTGGGAGTGGCCGACTCCCACCCTTTGCACCTGCCAAGAAGAAGTCTTGGAAGAGCGCCGCCGAACCAGGTTGGCAGCCATCACAGCCCTGCTGCGCGGGATGTGCGCGAAAATGGCGTGTCGGCGGCCATCACGTCATCCGGGCCAATCGGTCAAGCTCTACTGGAGAAGGTGAACTCGGTGTCCACCAAGGTTGAGGCCTTGCTTGGTACACGTCGCCCTCCTCTCTCTAGCCGTGCACCACAATCTCTCGGCGAGAAGTTGGTGGATCTGACGGAGCGCCTTTCCCAGCTGGAGAAGCTGCTGGATGACCTCGGTGCTCGTGGCACTTTCAGCCCTCCGGCACGCGTGGTGCCCCCAGCCAGGGCTCCTATATCGGCTGAGGCGGCAGCAGAGGCTTCCGTGAAGGCCGTTGCAAAGTCACTCCTGGATGCTGCGCGAAATCGCAGCCCGAGTGAGGCCAAGGCGGCACATACATCTCACCTGCACGTTACGCCACCCTCGCTTGTACAGGCGAATCTGGCTCCTGCTGGATGTGCAGTCGTGAGGCATCCATCACAGGCATCGCGCTCCACGACGCCTGTGACCACCTCCCGGATACGTACACCAGGAGGCCAATGCTGAGCTGCATGTGCAACGGGCATTGAATAGAACCTTCAGAAGGGGGTAGATTGAAAAGAAGTCGTTACATGGCCATAGCATATTCGCTGTGTCCTTCGTTGTCCAGAGCTTCTTCAGTCAAATCTTTTCAGGCTCCACGATGGGCTCGGGGACGCCTTCGTTCACCAGTCCGCCATCCGGTGGCCTAACGCCTCCACCCGGCCTTTTCCTGCCGATCACGAGCTTGATAACTCCAGGCTTTGCAACGGCAGAGTCCCTGGCGCACAGCGCCAACAGGCACCTCAATGGCATGAATGGCATGAAAACCCCAGTCGGCCCAGGCACGGGTTTCAAAACTGCACAAGGTGACACGCATGACTGATGTTCTGTGATGTTATGTAAAGTGTAAGTGTCAGTTGTATGTTTTGCAGACGTTGGCTTTTGAGTCGCCAGGTGTCTCGACGCCGCGTACCAACTTGTTCGCGGGCACCGCGCTGGGTCAAACCTGGGAAGGGCGCTTTTCCCCAGCTCCAGCACCTTTCATGCCGGTCTCTAGCAGGAGTCCGTCCTTGAATCGTACTCCCGCAGCTCCACCCCCGTTCCACGCTGGTACAGTGCAGCTGCCACCAAAGCCGGCGGTGCAGGCGAGGTCAATAGATGGCAAGAATATGTCAGAGGGTTGCAAGCCGGTGCCTTTGCCCGCAACACTGTAACTAAATGAGTTCACGCTGATAGCCCCATTGTGGAACATTAACAGTTCGTGCCTTCATTGTCTTAACGCCTTGGTCGGCAGGAAGCAGAGGGCAAAATACGCCAATGGTTGGACACGATTCCCATTGGCAATGGAGCAGAGCGAGGGTGGGATGATGCGCAGATCCGAGAGATTGCTGAGTTCTCGTCCCAGCAGAATCTGGGGCACCTCAGTGCTGAGCATCTCTACCAAAGGCCAGTCGGAGTACCATGCTGTTTGCTATCATGAAGTCAAGGCTCGCTTTGCGCGACCGAGAATTTCAGGACTTCCGACCACTACTACTCTATTACTACAATGTACAACTGGTGCATTGTGCTCGCAAACTAATTGCGCGGTTGCCAGTAAGTCAATCATTGAATATCATTTAATAAGCCAGGGTCCTTGGGACAATTGACCGGGTAACACTGCCTGGGAGCCCCGGGTTGTCTTCCCGGATCAGCTGGTGGGCCCACTGGCCGACAGGCTTATCGGCTTGCTTGTTGTGCCAACAGCACAGCCATAAGGCAGAGCAACTCTGCTGCTGTGAATACTTACCCCGAAACACAATGCATGAGAGCAAAGGTTTATACCCAGGCTATACATACTTCTACTGGAGCTGTGAGTTTTACGACAGTAGAAGCCCGGTGCGTAAGACCCCACCGTGCACCTTCGGCCGAGTGCAGCTGAGCCTCACATCAGAAAAACTGAATCCCGGTGTGCTTCACAACCTTGAGACTAGGTGTTCGGGTACCGTAAAACAACGTCGTGTTTACGGCCAAGAAGCCGATGAGCCACTCGGCCTTGAGACAATTGACCAGCCCCGGATTGCCTTCCCGGATCAGTTGGGTGCCCCCCCCCCCCCGAGAGGCTGTCGCCTTATCGGCTTATCAGTTCAGTTTTCGACACTGAAAAGCACGACTACTCTGTTCGTTATGCATCGCAAAAACGTGTCAGGCTGAGCTTGGCACCAGCGGAATCGGGAGCATTGTGCATTATGTGGAGTAACTCGGGTCATCCGTTTTGTCTCATTCTGTGCCTTTGGAGGTACGTGGAACACCAAGTCGCCAAGGCGGAGGCTTCTCACTGAGTACCTTGGTCCTCCCTCCGTGCCATCCTTTTAAAATGTCACCAGGGGGAGGCGGATAGAAACCCCAGCTAACGCACTCTCGCCTAAACGTGGCTGAGATTGGTCTCAGATCGGAGGTGCCGAATCTGTGGCTATAGAAAAGCAACAAAAAGGAGCAAAACATGCAGAGAACTGCACGGGGCCGGAGATTTCGCTTGCATGTCGACTGCAAAGCTGCGCCCAATCTGTTAAGTCAGATACAAGTAGTACCTGCAATCAGCAGATAGCCATATCGAGCGGTGCAGAATATGCCTGTTTCAAGGCTTGCTGTTATTCTTGGACGCCGAGTGCTGTGGGACCAGTCCTTGCCTCAGCGATATCAGAGCAAAGTTGCCTGAGTTGTGAATTTCCTGTGAGTTGCCTTCGCTTTCGTCACATATTGTTGAGCAGGCAAAGCTCCAAGTCCAGAGACTCCAGCGATGTCTCCGAGGCAAGCCATTCTTCGAGCTGCATGCTTCGTCGCATGGAGCTGTTGAAATGTGTAGTTTGATCTGATTCAGGTCTTTCGGTTCTTCGCTGCAACTTTGCAAGTGCTGCTGGTCATGGGCTTTCCAGTACATCGCTGGTGGGATCCCGAGAGAAGCCGTAGAGCTGCCATCTCGTTCTTCAAAGGCTTGAGAAGATGCCTTGTACCTGCCAGAAACATGCTCAATTTTTCACGGCTTTCACGTAGCAACTACTAGCAAAATTGTACAGCTCCCAGCATAGCTCCCAGAATAGCTCAGCTCGCTCTCCTCAGTTGCTTGCCTTTGGCGGCCTGGGTCGGCTCTGTGGAGTCGATGCCCCAGTGCCGTTTCATTCGGCTTCGCTGGCATCCCAGTAAATCTTGAAAGCCCGGTTAAATCCAGCACGCGAAGGTTGCTGGAAGTTCTCACCGAAGGATGCAGAGAAGTGCCAAGAGGCTCGCCACAGCTCTCGCCACAGCTCTTGCAGCTGATGATCCACCACGTGCATCTGCTGTCGCGCCAGGGATTGCTGTGGACGATCTCATGCTGTGGGCGGCACGTGGCATATACGCCAACCCACTGATCAGCCAATCGCAGGCAGGGACAAGCTGAGGGCGACCAAGATACTCTCATCACATCGTCTTAATCGTATATTGTATCGTATTCTTGCTGCAGGTCCTTTCCTGGCTGACCGACCGTCATGCGGATCCGAATTATCGGGACTCGTCAGGCAGCGACCCCAGAAGAAGACACTGGCTGGTTGATTTTTGATGCTTTCATGGGATGGAGTCAGTGGCGTGATTCACTCTACCTTCATTGCGTACTAGCGTTTAATCGATCAGACAACAGCCGACAACTTCTGTGCACGCTTTGTGCTTGAACTACATTGACTTACTCTGCGAACTGACTAGGACCAGGATCTTAACGAGTTACGGGGGTGGTTCAACGAATGCTGCATGCAGATCTTAAGCCAACTTTCCCGCCCATATCTATGCTATTGGCTACTCTGCAGCTTCAATGCATGTCACGCTCAGGAAAATCTGTCCTGGACTGGGCATGCTGGGTATGAGCCCCGGGCAATGTCCAGATGCAGCTTGAAGCTCTGCAGCGTAAATTGTGTATATGTGTTGACTTGTTCCATCTTCCCCAGCAGATAGGAGCTTGTGTAAGCCCATAGGATCCCGTAGTTCTTGCTTGCTGCCAGTAGCCAGTCCTCGTGCCTCAGATATCCTCAGACATTTGTTGCCGATGCACCTTGAGGATGTCAAGAGTGTAGCCCAAGAGAAAATGTTGCAGGTTTGGGGCTCGCAGAAGAGCTGCAGTTTTTCGAGCTCGCTGTTGTTGTCAATTGCTTTGTATGGTCTGGCCAGGCGGCCAGACCTGAATCCTCAGGCTTTGCAATGAGCAATACCTCGGGATATCACGGAATTGAAGCCCCTCCACCAACCCCCTGCCAGGTCCAGGTCCAAGAACCCCAAGGAAAGCACCAGGCAAACTGAAGCGACGGCATTTACTAAATATCGCTCCGGTTCCGGTAAGCTTCTGCTCATGATGCAGATTTCGAAGGCAAGTTGAGTCATGTCCTGAGGCTGGATGCGAGGAGCTGGTGACTCAGCTCCTGCGGCGTGGCCGCGTGCGGCCCACCGCCCTCACCGGAGAAGCTGGGCACGACGCCCAGCGATGGCGAATGATGGCAGCAGCAATCGGAAGCTCTACTATCTACAAAATCTACACGAACTCACAGTTTGTGGATCTCAGGCTCACACAGTTTGTGCAGCCCCTGCTGTTGGCTGCGGCCAGCCGCTCGACGAAGCTCGTGCGACTGTTGCTTCGCGCTGCAGGCACGAACATTGCCCGAACAATCCCGAACGGCGCCGATGACGGAAGTCCCAAGATGTCAGGTGATCCGCATGCTGCCCCAACAGGCCAATCGCTGCCCATCAGTGTGGTGGAGTGTTGCTCAGTGCTTCTTACAAGTCATGCTATCGAAGCGCGTCCTCACAGGCGATAGCAACGGCCATGCATGTGGTCCCTTGCTGTCTCTTAGCAGCACTTGGGAGGGAAGGTCAAGAGGTCGGTGGAGTCACAGGCTTGTTGGGTGTCCTTTCAACGTGTTTCAATGTTCAATACTTCGACAGGCTGGCGGTGAGATGCTGTGAATATGAGCTCGCCTGTGAGGTTCGGCTGGTTTCGAAGTGATGTTCCGCAGACAAGCCGCTTGAGCTTCAGCAGCCTGGAGCGCTGCGTTTGTCAGGTCTTGAAGAGCGCCGCCTGTATCAACGTAGAGATGGCCCTTGGAGCTGCGAGTCGGCGCCTCAAAAGATGAACTGCGCACTTTTGCAGGCAAACCACAGCCCTTCAGCCGGTTTGTTCGTCAGTTCGTCAGCTGCAACTCCAAGGTCCGGGCAAGCGGGATCGCGGGTCAAACCTGTCGGGTTCTGAGACGCCTGCAGGAGCATAAAAGCTAAAGCAAGGACAGTCGAAGTTCAAGAGGCCATGTGACAACCATGACACGGGTCCGCACAAAGCACCGAAGAAAGGCCAAACCCTCCCGAGGAGGAGAAGCCGGCAGGCCAGAACTCGGAGCAGAAGGGGAACAGGAAGTGTGTGTGTGTGTCTAGGTGTGTGAAGATTGTGGAACTTCTTGCTCCCAAGAAAGAGGGCCTGAAGTCTCAAGTTTTGGGTTCCGAGCTTCGGGTTTGTTCAGCCTTACAAGAGGATGCGAGGGAGACCCAATCGAGAGACAAATTTGGATGTTGAAAGCAGACCCTTTGTATCCTTTGTGAGGCCATGCGACCCGCGCTACCTTCGTGCTCGTGGAGTCCCTGCGGCGCTTCGCCAGCGGTCTCCAGCGGCGGAACGTGGAGGAGGCCAGCGGCCACACACAACCGTTAGAAAGGCTTATGAAAGCTTTGAAAGCTCCGTGCATCTCGATAGGAGTTGAGCCCGAAGGGGATTCGCGGCTTTGTGTGTGTGTGTGTGTGAGTCCTCAGAGGTGGCACTGACTGGTCTGCGGGCACATGTACCGGGCCCACATCCCGACGAATGCCTTTACTCCACTTGCAGCATGCCGGTGGGCCGATGCCTCGGCTGGCTCCATACTTGCTCCCGGTACTGGCCCGGTACTCCGATTGGATCGTTGTGGACCATTGAGCTTTGTCCAGGCGATGTCCTGCACCCCCTGGCGGCACAGCTCCCCACGCCAATGCACCGCGTACCCTGGCCGTGCTTTCAAAGTGTTGAATTCCACTTGGTTCCCTGAATGCTTTGAGACAACTAAAGTGAAATGCCTTATCTTATGCTCCGCGAAGCCGGAGCATTCAGATCCTCGGTATCACGAGGTCCCGCTGGAGCGCCGGCCAGGGCTGCTGCCGTTGCCATGGCTGAGGCTGAAAGAGGGAAGGTCAACAAGTTGAACGAGACTGTGCCTCCCTGCCACTTTCGCATTTTGAGAGTTGCGACGCACAGTGACGCACATTGAAAGGGGTGGAGATGATCCCTGGGGACCAGCGCGGCTATTGGTGGAGTCGGGGTCTCGATTCTTTTTTGTTGTTGGTGACAGTTTTTTGTTGCTGGTGACAGGGCGTGGTTTTGCTGGCCTCTGAGGTGTCTGCTGCAGCGGGGCTTTCAGCCAGATGAAGCTTTTCTGTCCAAAGTGACACCCGCCTTGCCACCAGATGTCCGCACCCGAGATTTTCTTGGGATTGCATCGTATGCAATCCTTTGCCTCTTTTTGCCCCATCTATGCTCAGGTACAGGTCTTGACAAGGCGATTGTGCTCTGAGGAAGGCCGGCTTCCACTGCTCAGCTGAATGGGGCAAATTTGTGTGCGCTGATATATCCCTGTATATGCCTGTCCTATTCGTGCAGATTGCCTTCAGCCGCTGCCGACGCTTCTGGCAGATATTCTGTCCGAGAGGCGCCATCAGTTCTTTCGATGCAAGCTGGCTTACAGAATACATCGGTCTTCCGGACCCGCCTGTTCTTGGCTAGGAGGGTGGACCACATGGTGAAGGGCAGTGGTCATCCTGCAATGTGCGCTGTAGCAGTGCCGTGAGCAGACTCACTTGCACGGGATCACGTGTGCAGATCCGCTTTTGGACGTGTAGGTACCCTACTTCTACATCTGTGCGCAGCCCAGACAGCCTTTACTCTTCAGACTCTTCAGGGTGCTTGCTGGCAACTGCAAAGTCAGGTCCACTGGCAAGATGTCAACGGAGGCAATGGAAAGAAGAACCCCATTTACTGTAGGCAAAAAGTGCACCCTCGCGCTGGCACTGGCTCGTGTTCAGGCGGCAAGAAGGACATGTTTTTCTCGAAGGCGCGGATTCTCCAATGATGTGAGTCGCTCTCTTGTCGTTGTTGTTGGAGTTGTCTACGATTCTCTGAAGGAAGTTGTTTTGTCCAGTATAAGTCGCATCTGCCCGTTGCATCGGTGCTTTGAATTGACATGCGTCCAATGTCCGCTGTCGACGCTGTTGCAATCAGGAGCTCTTGAGACCCTGGCCTTCCTTCGGACATGAGGAGACTTCGGCTGAGATGCTTTTCGGGCACGAGGAGACTTCGAGCTTGTTCTTGTGTTCTTGTGTTGGCTCAGTTCACTTTGTATTGGAAGCAGCATGCGCAGGCCCATGAAACGAAGGGCCTGGCAAGTGCCACAGACTACATGAAGGCACCCCAGCTGCCCAGCAGTCAGCTTAAACCTATGCAGGCGCCAGAGGCGCTGGAGTTTTGTCTCAGGCAGGGGCGTGGAGTCCGACTGCCATCCGTACGGGCTGGCAAGAGCAGCCGGAAGAGGCGCTCTCCCAAAATGTTGGCAGAACTACTGGTAAAAGTGTGGTACAAGGGTGGTACAAGGGTGGTACAGGAGCAGTGCCTAGGCATCGCAAATGCCAGCCATTCGTGTGGTGGTCTTGGGAGCCCCGCGAGCTCGGTTCCCGGGTGGCGACCGTCCAGCAGCAGCGAGAGCAACCTGTAGCGGAGGCACTTCGAGGCGTGACTGGACTCAGGTGGGCAAGAGTAGCGTGGCTCGGGTCTTGGCCGACTACTTGGGCTTTAGCTACGAGGAGGCCAGAGCCTCAACCGTTGCTTCGAACTCTCACGCCTTGCAAAGATCGCAAACCCCCGCGGATTCAAGCGGAACGTCGCAGGAAGCCGGCGCCTGGCTGCGGGTGGCAACGCCGGCGCGGCGTTCTCCCTGACCCCCCCAGCCTGGGGGCATCCCAGAAATCTTGTTGCTGTGCCCAAATTTGCTTGATTTGCTTGTTGCTGTGCTCACGTTTGCGTCCTCTCCGTGCAGTTCCTAGATTGTGTTGAACGTGTTGGCTACTGCATCGCCAGGTCCGTGGTCATTGGCCCAACTCCGGTGCAAAACCTGTTGTGCAGGCACCATGTTGAGGGGCTGCGACTCAAATTGGCAGCTAAATAGACTCAAGTGACGCACACTGTGGGTTAATTATGAAGACAAATTCAGGCGCAACCGATTGTGCTCTGAGTTTTTGTTTCGAGTACCTGGGGCCTGACGACAACAGCTTTTCCCAAGGCCCAAGTCCGTCGCTTTGCTTGGCGGGTCACTTGACTGGGGGGTTTGGAGTGTGGTAGAGATGCGTAGAGATGTGTACGTAGAGTTTTGGGTCCAACAGCCCTGACGGCCCTGAAGCTCCCGAGTTTCTCACCGACCTCAGAGCAATCTTGAGAACCACTCGAATCAATTGCAAGAAGATGTGAGCTCGTGGCGATGAGCTCGTGGCGCAGCTTTAACCGCGCATCTGCGTCGGTACCATTGTCCACCCGACAGAGTCATGCAAACCCCCAGGCCTTTGCAGGCACGGCCCTCAATGCAGTTGTGAAGAACTTTGCTGTCAGGTCTACATCTGGGACACCATGTCCACTTTGGGCCCGAACCTACCGCACTTGGTCACAGATCCGGACGCTTCAACCGCTCCTTGCTAAAAGTTCAGCTTTGCAGCAATTCTGCCCTGAATACCATCCCGTTCTGCCTCATGGGACCTTGATGACATCGTGGAATGATGTGCTTTCGGATTGCAGAAGCAGCTAAGCCTCTCAGCAGCACACCAAGCAGTTTTACAATAGTTTTACACGCCCAGTTCGTGGTGGCGGTTGTGGACGAGTCGAACAGCGAAGCGGCAGCCATGGCGCGGAAGTGCTGGGCCCTCAGAGCTTCTGAAAGGGGTTCCCTGAAGCATCTGATTAGTTCCTTAGTTCTTACCTGAGCCTGCTGAGGTGTTTTTGCAGATTCTCAGTTCTCGGCTCCCAGGCGCCTGATTCTGCAAATCATTGAACATTGAATGAAGTTTGATTGAACATTGGGAAATGTGCTCGAATTGCTTTGTCGGTTCGTGCTGCCACTTCCTGTGCAGCCGCTGCAGCCACTTCCTGTGCCGCTGCGGCCCTTTAAGGCGAGCTCTGATTGTAGAGAACATCTTCTTCAACAATGGCAAGGGGCAGGGGCCACGGGCAACAGGTATACTCAGCAGCATGCCGGGCGCATTGTCACAGCATGCTCGATAGCTTTGTCCAAAGGCCCTTCGAGGAGGGAAGCGAGGGCGGCCTGCAAATGCTGCGGACGCTGCGCTGCAATGTCGCCGAGCAGGCCCACATCGCGGCACTACACGCGACATGGAAAGTTGACCTTTTTTCTTGCGGTAAGGCAAATCACTGCGGGGAAGCTTTTTAGGAAGTCGACCGAAACTGCGTTTCCCTCGGGCAGAAGTGTCCACATTTCCACGCATGCGTGTCGTAAGCCATGTTGGCTATACGATGTGATATAGGTTATGATTGCCTCTTCTTCGTAAGTTTTGGTAGGCTTGACTCCATGCTTTGCTTGCCTTTCACTCGGGCGGAGGTGCTTCAGCAACCATGTTGGATGATGTTTTCAGCATGTTGACCCCCAGCGTTCCTTGGGGATTTCGATACTTGCGTACTGATTTTCGCTGCTGTTCGTAGCTGTAAAATCCATGCGTTCATTGCGGGGAAAGGATCCCACGGTCGACTTCGTCAACTTCCTGAACCCTCTGCGTTCATTTGGGGTTTCACGTCTCCCCCAATAAAAGGGTCGACTTTCCCGAGCCACTAACTAGAACGAGTCGTCGAGAGAAGTTTTTGCTCGTTGTGCAGGAGGGCCAGAGCAGCCTGAAGAGGGTGCCGTGAGCCCAGGAGTCCCAGGGTTTGGCTCTCAAGGCTGCGCAACTTAGAGCTTTGAGCAGACAGGCGCCTTCTTGTATACTTTTGGCCGTTAACCCGGATTTCCCATCTCTTCTGATTCATCGTACCTTGAGGTTTGGCAAGATGATTGCGGACATGGCTGGGCAAATCGAGGCGCGCGCAAGTTCTGAAATGTGCGTCCGCAAATAAGAAGGGATAGCAAATTGGGCGTACTCTGCTGGTGCAGCTGCTTGAAATTGGGGGTGTGGACTCTGTGGACTCTGTGGACTCGGAGCCGAAACTGAGGCCCGCGCCGAGGCCTCGCTGGGCGAAGTCGGTCAGCTGGCGCCCTTGGCGCCTTGCGGTCAGGTGCAACTCTGAGCCACTGCTCCGACTGCTCCTGTCAGTTCAATACTGAATTTTACGCCCACACACAACTCCACACTCTGCGCATGGCATGCCATGATGCTTTGCTCATAACATTGATTGTCTTTGCTCCTGTTTCAATCCAGAAGCCTAAAGACCGGGGACTTGTCATTCTTGGTGAATTGTTGTTGCAGGGGGACCTGCGAAGCGTGTGGTGCCCAGTTAGGATCAGTTGGGGGTAGCCCAGAGAGTCGCGCGGTGATGGATGCAGCTCATACTAGGGTTCGTCTCTGCAGAGGAGTCCGAGAATATCTTGATCTTTCGTGCAAGTCCCGCCCTCTCTCTCGCTCAACGTTCACCATATGCTGCAAGCGCCTTTGAGTCGTGGAGGAACAAAAAACCTCTTAGAGGTAGACTATCATCTTCTCCTTTTCTCCAACATGCTCCAGCTCATTCTCTCGGTGCATACGCGCAAAACAGACGCTGAAGGGCTCATCATTGACCAGAAGCGCATTTAAAAGATCCATAAACAAAAAGTTGTGAGCAGGGGGAGTCAAAGTGCATTCTCCATGGCACATCCTCTAGGTCTTGACGAGGGACACGGCCCTGGTCTGTGGCGGCTCGCGGAAGAGCCTCGGTCGGCGGGCCTTGGCGTGCGCCGTAGGGCCGCAGGGATTGGATTGCATATCGCCGCAGTCTTGCAGGATGCTTCAGAACCCTATGAAAATTTGTTTTCCGAAGACCCTGCCCTGACCTCAGGCCAACAGGTCCCATCAGCTCCCTTTAGAGTTCAAGGATGAGGGTTCAGTGCTTCTGGCTTTCTCGGCTTCAGGAGTCAAGCGAATTGAATACCGCGCGTTTGAGATCGAGAAGTTGCAGTTTGGGGTTGTTGAGGTTTCGAAGGCTTCGGGTTTCCGCTTCAGGGCTGCTGCTTTGACTCGTGGGGTCTCAGGGCAAAACAAAGTAATCTGATTCTGGGATCACTGCGCTTTCTCTATGGGGGTTGGAGCCTTTGTAACTATCGGCTTGTTTTTCAAGGTCAAGGCTGGTTATCAGACGAACCCCGAAGCGTATCGAAGCGTAGGGGTTGTGTTTTCTTCGTATCGCGGCCTCCGTCATGCAGGTCTTCACGTGCAAACCTACCGCGTAATTGAGGGTTGGGATCCTTGGAAAGACTCTGTTTGCAGGCAAATTGTGCGCGAAGTGCGCTGTTGAACAGGCGAATTGCATGTATCATGGAACTCAACAGGTGCAAGCAAATGACGGAAAGTCCCCCCCTCCCCATTTCGCTTACGCGCCGACTCAGTTTCAATGGGGAGGGTGAGGGGGAGGGGGGCGGGGGCATTCTGGATACAGAGGCGATTGGGCGAAGAGGATGTGTACCTGCGTACCTGCTGACGACAGCGAAAGGGTTCACGTTAACAGGTACAGGCTGCAGGGGGACTCCACCTACGTGGACCCAACAGTCTGGAGCTCTTGCGATTCCTGAGGGCTCTCTCAGTCTCAACTCAGCTGGGTGTTCTTCTGTGAGTTGATTCTTTCCAGCACTCAGAAAATCACAATGAGGCTGCCTCCATCGCATGGGCGGCAGTTTGCGCAGCACGGAGCACGCTGCCCCAGGAGGCGTGCACTGGTGGGGTGTGGCGGTGAGGCTGCAAGGCACATAAGGCACCAGTGTCTCTTTCTTCCTCTTGCTGTTTGAGCTTTGGAGGTGAATTGGCTCACTGGGTCCGCTCCTAGCTCGAGCAGCACGGGTCCGTGGCAAGCAGCTCTGGTACAGACCTAAGGGAGAACCTCAGAAACATTTTGACAAGCCAGGATGTATGTTAGTAGTCTCCCACAAAGCCATATTTCGCAAGGTCTCTTGGGAGCGCTTGGAGACGATCCTAACACTAGGCCGGGAGAGCTGTGACCCAGTTGTAACTTGTCATTTCCCGAAGCCCCAGGCCACGGCAGCCGCCAGTCGTCTGCCCTGACCTTGGACAGTCTTTGACAGTCTTGGGCATGCCAGGGAAGCTTGGGTTTGTTTAGCTCGTCCGAGGCAACGCTCGGCAGAGCCTTGATTGACCTCGGCCTCATTTGTGCATGCCTTAGCATCATGAACACCCTTTTTCCCATCCTGTGCCATGTCGACAGGCATGTCTGGGATTGGCAGGTGCAGGGTGCATGAAGTGATGCGAGCTGCCCAAGTCGCATAGATGTGCCCCTATACCTATGCTCCTTCTCATGCACGCACACACACACACTAATGTGTGCTTGGACAGTTTGCATTCACGTAGTACGGACTGTGATGCACTCTTGCCTCAAAAAGGAGCCCATAGGCAGCCCCATGGAACGCAAGTTTTTGAGCCCCCGTCCTCACCGCCTGGCAGCATCGAAGAGACATGCCAAACGCAGTCACAGAAGCAGAGCCCAGCAAAGGCAAACCGTCAGATACGGTAGCCGGGTTCGGCCAAAGCATGCTCTGCTCTTTAGCAAGCATCACCATCGTCTCTCACTTGCCCAGGTCCAGTGCCGGGGCTGGACAAGGCTTGGCGAGACCGTGACAAGATGGTGTTGAATGCAGTGCGAGTCTCGGTTTGCTCCAGTTGGTTCAGCTGACCAGCCAATAGCGACCAGTTGGCAGATCATGGCATTGGCACACTGTCAGCATTGTTCAGGTCCTGATTCCCGACTTTGCCCCCCGGCTGAAGCCAGGCTCGTGCCTCAGAAAGCATCTTGTCGAGCAAGTCAGGCGGCATTTGGCAGACGTTGCCAGTGAGGTGCATCCGTGGCAGAGCTGTTGCGCCCAGCTCATGAGAGAGGGCGTGCGCAGCAAGCCTACGTTCGGGTATTGTGGACTGATGTGAAGCATGGCGTTCCAAAGCAGTCGCCACCCTCACTTCGGATCGCACTGCGAGACCTGCTGGCAAATGGTGCCTTGGGATATGCCTCTCAGAAGAGCTTGGTGCTCCACTACTTCGCCTTGCTGGACTGCGATGCCCGAGCTGACACTTCAGATCTGGAGCCTGGCTTCATCCTGGCCTTTGACCTTGAGACGAAACCCTCACAGGACTCGCAGCTCCATGAGGCACTGGTAGAGATGAGGTCCGAATCACCCGAGTGCGGGCTCTCGGCCGGGCTCGCGGACCTCATTGCTGCGCATCCTGGTCAGGGCCTGACCTTTGTGCTCGTCCGCACCTCCAGTGATCCGACACAAAGATTCTGGGACATCCTGTGCAGTGGCCCGCATGCCTACTGGGCCTGGCACGCGCTGCTGCAGGCGGGTCATGGCTCCAAGCCCACTTTCACGGGCTTCAGCAAGTTGAGGGAGCATGGCAAAGTTGAGGAAGGCGACTTCCCACTCCCGAGCTGTCTGCTGTCTGCCTCATCACTGAAGTGTACAGATCTCGACCTAAGTGATGTGAGTCCAGATGAGCTAGCGGCTGTGGCGTGGCTGCTCTGTGGCCCACAAGCCAAGGAAGCAAGGGATCGCTTGACAATGGCCATAGAGGCCCAGTCATGGTCAAGCTGGAGCTGCTGCTCGGCCCTGTGCCGTGCGAGGGTGCCATCCTTTAACTTCACGGGGACGTTGGCATGCTGCGCTGAGTTTGAGGCCTGCTTACTTGCAAGAAACTGGCATGAGATGCCTTATCTCTTGAACGAGGCTTTGTCCTCTGGAGTTGAAGCATGGGCACTCTGTGTCACAGCTCTTGCCCGTCTTGCGCGTGACACTGCGGCCGCTGCAGCCAGCGGTGGCTGCAAGCTACCCCTTCTAAACTCCAGTGAAGACGAGCACGTTCACTCTGCTCACTCGCGAGTGACGCTCCTCCCAGAAGGTCCGCAGCTGCTCCGAAACGAGGAGTACGAGGATCTCTCGTCACCGCTTTTGACAGGGACCGATGTCACTTCAGCCGTCCAGGTGTGGCTTGCTGTCTGCAGGCCCTGTGCTCTTTGGATCATGGCCGGAGCTGCGAAGAGATATTGCCCACCGGTGCATCCTCCAGGGCCAGATAAGCCAGGTCTTGTCTCAGAGATCGTCAAAGCCTTGAAAGTGGCAGTTGGCACCTTTGTGTCTGACGTGGTGGTGTCTGATGTGTGGGACGCACTCAAGCAGAAAAGCTCTTCCGGACGCTTGCTGCTTCCGAGACCAGGTGGTGGCTGGCTTTGGATCGAGCCTGAGAAGACCAACTGGTTCGCAGTCGAGTCTGAGTTGTCATAGCAAATCGGGATGCGCTGCCGAGCGCTGCCATGCGAGCCAAAGCGCTCGCTGTTTTTCAGGTGCTTCATTCTCCCACGCAGCCTGTCAACGCAAATGTCATCCTGTGATATCGGCTTACATCATGCCCGCGTAGTCACCATGTCCTGAAAAAGGCCTGCAGCTGTCAGTCGCTCCCCGTAGTTCGATGCATGTTTCCAGGGTGCCAGCAGCGCTCAGTGAGAGTACAGACGTGTTTCATCACAGCACTTCAGTCAAATCTTTCGATCTGATTCGCCTGGCTGGGCCTCGCAAATTGAAGTCTCACTTCTGTGAGCCACCCGCTCACTAGACTCGGTAGATTCTGCCTACGGTAGAAGGAGAACAGCCAAACTCAAAGGCTTTGAGGAGCGATGAAGAACAAGAACGTGTAGCGCACGAAGCCGGAAACATGCCAAAACCATTCCAAGGCTCTGCAAAGGTCTGCGAGGCTACCCAGTGATTTTTTGGCGCTGGGGCTCCAAGGAGGTCTGATTTCTGAGAAGAGGCGAGCCCGGCAGAAAAGAATCGGCTTTTCTGAAGCGGCTTCTGAAGCACATGAGCCCACCATGAGCCCACCGTGAGCCCACCATGACACCAGACTGAGGTACGGCATGGTCATGGCATTTGTATGACCATGTCTCACTGTGTGCTGATGCCATGGCCGGCTCTCGAGGGGTCAATGGCATGCGATGACAGTGGGCGCACGGCTGTACTCAGGCCAGAAATCGCAGAAGAGATCACAAGAAAGCGTTCTGCCAACAAGCCATGCTGTATAGACTTGCTTGCCCGAATGCCAGGCATACGTGATGATAGTCGCAAGATGCTCACTGCTGGTGCCGTGCTTGGGGGCTCGATGAGCCGCGAGAGTTTAAGTGCCTGCATCAATCTGCATCATATACCCTTCATGTCACCAGGGCGTCCTAGCACTACTTACCTCAGGGCCCTGACCTTGGGAGCTGCATCTTGAAGCCTTAAGCTTTTAAGCTTTGCAGCATCTTGCGAGTGTTGCCTTCTGCTGCTGCATTCCCAACGCTCTTCTGCTCCAGGCAAGAACTTGGCCAGCTGAACTTGCTCCTTGATCAAGTGAACTACACGGCCCTCACGCCGCAGGAGAGTTCGGAGAGTTCTCTGAAATGAGAGCTGCATTGAACAAGTGCTGCACATTTTCCTCATCATATGGCTGAGCACTCAGAGAACTCCGCTTCAGGACCTAGGTGCGCTTCCATCCACGCTGGGTGAGAGCATCACTTCCTCTTTAGGGCTGGAGCCCGTGCCTTACGAAGAGAGCACTTGGAAGCACAGTTTTGGGTATCGAGCCCGCCCTCCTGTGAACTGGTCTCCATGAACTTCGACAGGCTGGATGCCATCAGCAACGCCGCTGGAAGAGTCGGAGAGGTCGACCTTCATCCAGGCCCGGAGAATTCTTTGGGAGAGCCCCAAGTTCTCGATTCGTACTGTGTAGGGTTCAAGGGGCCGATCCTCAGGAACCATCCATAACGAGTGGATGCCGAGTCAATGGCCACTTGTCCAGCCAGGCCGGGTCACAGTTGCGCAGAGTAGGCCAGAAGACAAAAAGAGTGTGAGATTCATTCAGACATTGAGAAAGGATCGATAAGAAAGCTGTTTACTTGCGCATGCTTTCGCACATGTTCTTACACTGCCTGAGGCAAGGCCACGTTGGTTTATGGACAGCTTCACCTGCCAACGCCCAGCATGGCCACTCACCCTGCGTTGGATCAAGCCTGGGCCGTTTTTTGGGGCAGATGCTTCAACTTGCCAGGCGTTCATTGCAGAATCGACTCTGGGCGGATCTCTGTTTGAGTCCGAAATCCGAAAGAGGGCTTCGCCTGCCAGTTTGTCAGCGATGCCTTCCCTGAAGCCTAGCGATCAAGATAACCAACCGTCCAGTCTGCCAGGTACAGGATGCCATAGGCCATTTGAGCTCATGCTCTTGGATACAGTGTGGCACAGCATGTCATTTGAACATGCTTTTGGCAAGCTCTTGTCGCAACGAGTTCTGGTGTGGTCAGGCATGAATGCCAAAGCCATCACAGGACAGATCAGTGTCACAGCTGCCTCCGCCAGCCTCTTGGGTTCAGGTGTCTCTTTGCTTGGTGGCTGATGGTTGACAACTGTCAAAGGTCTACCAGGCCCCAGTGACTCCTGCCCCTGTGGGAGGGACTGCGCTGCCTGCTGACAAGGCCGCAAGAGTGCTCAAGAATTGTGTTAAGTGTGGGTCCGTCCTTGCACAAGGCTCAGGACGAGACACATTGAGAACACAGGCATGAGAGCACATGAGAGCACATGAGAGCACATGAGTGCTCAGGGGCAGCGTCTGCTCTGGTACGTTGGGTGGCGGCCTGAGGGCTTCTGAGAGTTAAGTTAAGAGGGCAGAGGGCATTTGAGCTACACTCTCCCTGCTTAGCGTTAGCTGAATTCTCTCAGGCTGGGGCTGTTGGTGCTCGTTGCCGTCGGCATTGCCCTGTGCTGCGTGAGAAGTTTGCGCCTCATTTCGCCTCACACTTCCTCTGCGGGCAGAAGACCCTGAAGGCTGTTCTTTCTCTTGCTCCGTGCTTTGTGGCATCCTCTCGCGTCTCAGTGTAAGGCTTGTGCATGAGCATGGCGACGCCCAAGAACGTGTCTGGCTACGACACATCGGGATTTTTGCAGGCCTAATCCTTCCCACAGCTGCCGACATGATCTCATCTTCCCGGATTGCTGCTTCCTCAACTGGTGCTGATGCCCTCGCAGATCTTCAGACCTTCCCCCGACTCTGCACATGAACTGGAGATTTGATTCGTCAGCTGATATTAACTGTCATATCCAATGTCGACACAGGTGAACTCGTACGACAACGATGTTCCCATCTATGAAGATCCCATGAAGTTGCCTTGCCCTGAGTGGCAACTCTTTGCGAGAAAACACATAATCGTCCTTCTCTTGTCAGCAAGGTTTCGTGGCCAAGGGCACTGAGATGGTGCGAGCTGTGAGAGCTGTGAGAGCCGTGCGCATCTGTTTCACTCTGGCTCCTCGCAGCACCGTCAGCCCAAGAGTTTCAGCAGCCTTCACGAACTCTTGCGGACTTTCAGCGACAAGCCACCACCCATCGGATGCAACTGTAGACACAAAGTGCAAAAGGCACTCAAAGGACTGTCTCAAAAGTCGGCATCCGCGGCTACAGATGTCAAATAGACACCCGAAAGGGCAGTGCTTTGGAAGGACAGAGTAAATGGTTTGTCCGTTCTGAGGGGTGTGCCAGCCAGTTCGCTGCAGGTTGAGCCTGCGCCACTTGTTTTTCGAATTTTGTGGTGTTCTGGGCCTTTGGGGGTCCGGTGTTTTATTTTTGCCTAGGTCTCTCCCTTTTCCCTTTTCCTAGGTCTGGCTGGTCCTATGGTCCTCTGGTACTGGGAAGTAAAGCACGTAGTGGTGAGAAGTTACCTACGTACTATGCCCTTTTATGTGTTGGATCTTAGGTTAAACAAATAACTAAGAAGTTACTAAGAAGGGCGTGCGTGAGGGTCACTGAAGTACAGACTCTGGTTCTGCGCGATGCATTGCGGCTTGGAGCCGCATCGAGAATGAGCGGCGGTTTTCCGAATTCTCTGGTCCTGTGGTACGACGCTCTGGTCCTGCGGTTCCGGTCCTCCGGTCCTGCGCTCCCCAAGCCCCCCGCGTTTAAGCCGTTTCAAAGCAGAGCAGCCACCCCACGCCGTTTTTTTTTAAAGCCGTGCAAGCTTGCTTCAAAGCATATGAATCTGTTAAGAAACCCATCATGCGATCATTGTGTTTGCAAATGGGGGGGGGGGGGGGGGGGGGGGGGGGGGGGGGCTGCGCCCCACCCAACCCCCCCGCCTTTTTAGCCGTGCAGGCATATCTCAAAGCATATGAGCTTTTAAGAAACCCATCATGCGATCATTGTGTTTGCAAATGTGGGGGGGGGGGGGGGTTGCGCCTCCCCCAACCCCCCGCTTTTGTTAAGCCGTGCAAGCTTGCTTTGAAGCATATGAGTTTTTTTAACCATCATACGAGCATTGTGTTTGCAAGTGGGGCACCGTCCCCCCCCCCCCCGCTTTTTAAGCCGTGCTAGCTTCATGTGTGAATGCTGCAATTGCTAGGATTTGGCGCAATGTCAAGCAGGTGAACGGTGAACGTACATACATACCATGATTAAGGAGCTCGAAACGCGTAAAACATAGTTTTTTTTGTTTTTTTTTGCTGCGGCTTCTGCAATATGCTTCAATTCAACATTTTGAAACGCGGAAAACACAAAATGCATCATTTAGTAGAGCATTTAACGCGTATGAAAAGTGCGTGAATGCTGTAATTGCTAGGACTTGGCGCACTGTCAAGCAGGCGAACGTACAGAAATACCATGATTTACAGGGTTTGCTGCGGTTTTTGCAATGATTCAGGAGCTCGAAACGTGAAAAACTCTGCAAGTTACAGTATTTACAGCCCGTCGACCAGCGAGATGTCGAGTCAGACCAAGGGAAAAGGAAGAGCCAGACCTAGGAGGAAGCAAAAACCAACCTCCGCCGGGCCATTTGCGGGTCACCATGTCGGCCTCAGCTGGACCCTCCAAGTCTCGTCGTCCCCTGTTGTTAATATTATTTGTTAATGTGGTAGATTCCTATCCAGCTCCAGAGAGGTTTCCTTGCCAGTTGGCCGTTAGTTTTGCCATTCCTCGCAGCTCCTTTGCGATCGCATAGAGGGTTTAGTCTATGTCCATACAGCGGAGTCTGCGCATATTACCTGACATTTTGAGCTCCCATGCTCAGCCTCGCCCACGAACCACGAAGTACCCAGACTTGAGAACACTAGCATGCATGGCCTCAAAGCTGCCACAACCAGCCACTGTGCGTCCACCCATCCAAAATAGCGCCGTGTAGAGCAACGCTGCCACATGCACGACAAACTGGCGTGCTGGCTTGTTGGCACATCAGAATTGGTTTGGCCAGCATGGAGCCCGCATGCATGCCATGATGGTTTTTTGCAGCCCGATCAATAACCCCGCAACTTCATGTATCTGGCTGCTGTGTAATGTGAACGATGCCAGGATGGGTGGCGCTTGCCACCATTGCTGCGAGAAGCCAGAGGTGAGACCTCCCAGAGAGTAGCTTTAAGCTTTGTTGTTCCTTCCATTCGGCACCGAGGTGTTTTAACGTGCTGTAGCTGTACTCTGCTGTGTTGTTGAAGTAACTGTTACAGCCCAGGCTGCAAATCCGGCGCAGATTCCGCACCAGCCGGTGCAGCAGGAGCGCGGCAGAAGTCAGGCACCAGATCGTTGACAACTTGCCTGGCCAAGCACTTGCCATCGCATTCGTTTGAGTGGCAGGGTGTGCACGACCTCACTGACACTGATCCATCTGCCAACATCTGAGTTGTGCAGGGCCTTCCATGTTGAGCACTCGACAACGAGCGTACAAACAGTTGTGTATTCGGAGTGTGCCGTGAATGGTGCTGCAGGCCTACTCGGGCGGACACTTGCAGAAACGAGCAAACTTACAGGCACCCCGCGGCTCCCTCGGTCATATGTCACATGTTGTCACCGGTGAAGGTAAAAGATGGCGGCTTCGCCCTGGGAAACTTTGCTGCCACAAACACTGGTCGCATAGAGGCCACTGGCGCTTCGCTCCTCCAACCTCGCGTTCTTGACAAGAACCTCGGTCACTTCCTTGTAGCACTACCTTGCAATGCAGGATTTCTATGAGCTGGAGAAGCACAAACTCGGGGAGGGAGGCTTCGGGTCTGTGAGGAGAGGAAGGCTCGAAAGAGATTGTCATGAGTTCTTCACTAGAAGCCTCTGATGCTCGAATCTGCTAGAACATGCAACTGAACTGAAGTGCCAAAGGGACAAGCGAACTGGAAGAGTCTATGCCATCAAGTCGATCAGAAAAAAGGGGGTGTGCCCGACCTTGTTGATCCTTAAGGTCTCCTAAGGGTGTGAAAAGATGTGAAAAGCGCAGCAGCATGGGAAACTTCGTCTCTCGGAGTTTGAGTGCATGGCCAGGTCGAGGAGCCGCAGAAGTTGAAAGAAGAGATCGACATCATGCGGCTGCTGGACGTTCATCACTTGTCTATAAGTGTGAGCAATCATAGCAATCGCTACAAGGCAGGCCAAGCATCTGAGCCTTACGCAGGATCATCCCAATATCGTGCGATTCCAAGAGAGCTTCGAGGCACGCCACCGTGCTGTACCAGGGCACGGAATCCACATTTCACGGTTGTACCTGCAGCAGGATCACCGCCTTCTTCAGTTGGTGTTGGAGCTCTGTGAAGGAGGCGTGTATACTATGTATATTGCAGTCACTCAGGGATGTGGACGACGATCTGCCTGCGTCAGGAGAGCTCATCGAACGAGTTACCTCCCAGGGGTCCATAACGGAAAGGCAGGCTGCAGGTGGGACATCCTGGGAGGGCGAATTGGGCTCATGGTCATTCGCGTCACCGCAAGAAAAACTCCCTGAGCAGGATGCGTGCGCGACATGCTCCGAGCCATCAATTACCTGCACATGCCTGGTGCCCAGCATGCGGGATCCCGGGACTTCCCATCGCTTCTCAGACTCATGAACTGCAAGGAACAACATCATGCACCGCGTCCGGCCCTTACCACGCGTGCATATGTGTGCATCCCCACCTTCTGCGAGTCCTTTTCAGGCCCGGGCCCTCCCCCGCCAAGGACTTGAAGCCAGAGAATTTCCTCCTCGCCACCAAAGAAGAGGCCCCAGAAGATGAACGCCGTTTATGAAAGGAAGAGTGAACAGCGGCTTTTGCCGTGGGTTCAATGTTTCAAGTGTCCTCTTTCTTATTTACGTTCTCTCATTGTCATTCATCACTAGATCAGCATAGCAATTATCGCGTACTTTACTCCATTCGTGAGATCCCTCTCTTCTTCTCTGCAGATTGGCAAGTCCTCGCTGAAGCTCATCGACTTCGGCCTCGCCAAGCATGGGCCTTCGTCGGAACAAGCCCAACGCGGAAGAGCTTTTGTAAAGCAACATAGCCATATCATGATGGAATGTTCATGTTGCCGATGGTTCCGCCTTTGCGTTGTGCTTTCGTGTTGGCAGCGGCGCGTCCAGTCTACGCGTACATAGCCTGCTCTACCGGGACGAAAGTTCTGAAATGGACACGAAGACAAGACGCAGAACCACGCTGCGCTCTCTTGCTGTGGCGCTGAGGCGCTTCAAGCCAGGCGAACCGGCCCGCACGAAGGCCGGTGCATCGACGTGTTGTGCGGCCCAGATGCGGCGTCCCTAAAACCGAAAGCCCAGGCTGGCACACCCAACTACGTGGCGCCTGAGGCATGTGCAGCTCTGCCTTTCTAGGAAATGGCATAGGGGGCTTGCACGAACTGAACCAGGCTTTGTTATGTGTTGCTTGAATTCGCAGGTGCTGTCAGGAAGATATGACGAGAAAGTGGATGTCTCCGGCTCAGGAATGGTTTCGTTCCCAAGTGCCGGCATGTTCAATCAGCACATGCCTGTGCTCAGACTTGGAGCATTGGGGTCATCACCTTCCTCCTGTTGTCTGGCAAGCACCCCTTCACTGGAAAGACTGTCGAACAGGCACCTCGCATGTAGAAAGTCTTCGGTAGCCTTCCACCTCAGTCTTGCGTGGCATCAGCTGCAGCCAAATCACCAGGTCCTTCAGAAAGTGAAGAATGCAAGCTTTGCAGGGGGCCCTTGAAGCTGCCCTTGAAGCTGCCCTTGGTGTCATCGGGATGTGCCACGGTGCCACAGTGCCACAGCCTGCGATGCTGCTGAGATCACCGACGGGAAGCACTGGAAGGGCGTGTCGGCCGATGGGAAGGGCTTCGTGCAGGTGGCTTGTTCCCAGCGAAAGGCTTGTTTGGGTAGCCGAGGTTTTAGTTGTGGTAGCTGCCAAGTGTCCATGGATATTCAGTATCAGGCAGTATTAAGCAGTGTTGCGCTGGGCCAAATGCTGTTGCCTGCTGCTGCCTGGCGCCGCAAGGCCTGCCTGCAGAAGGTGCCCATGGCAAGGCCTTCGGCTGGGAGCTGCCTCAAGCACCGCTGGCGGTGCCCCGAGTCTTTGGAAAGGGTGGAGACATGTCATGTGGAGACATGCAGCCACTCACACAAAGACGCTCACGGCGTTCGGCAAGGATCGAGCGCTTGGCGGAGAAGGACATGGATGGCCCAGTGATGGGCCTTCACATCGAAGGTTTGGCTGCTTTCGGGCGCATGCACAAGCTGAAGAAGGCTCGTGTCAGTGCCAACTAGTATCGATTCCGTTCAGTTCTGTGAACAAGAAGCAGTTGCACCGGCCTTTCGACCACACCCGCGCTTTGACAAGCGCACACTTCGACCAAGAAAGTTGGAGGGATGATGGCGCCGCAGGCTGTAGTCACGGTGATCGCTGCCCAGATGTCCGAAGAAAGGACGCCGGTTTGGGTGGCGGCCGCGTTGTGCAAGTTTAGCTGTCTTACCGTCTTACCCTTCAGTTGGTATTTGTTCAGCTTCTGTCCCATTCTTGCTCTAGGATAGATGAGCTGCGTCGAATGTTCATGGTGATGGACCGAAATGTGCTGTGCCCGGCTGCTCCTCATGGGATTTGTGTGCTTGACCTCTTTGCCTGATCGGTTTGCCGGCCCAAGGGTGACGGCACCCTGACCGTTGTGGAGGTGAAAGATGCTTTGGACAAGGCAGCCTCTTCAAGAAACTGTTTTGCTGATGTCCGGAATGGCATCACGAGGCATATCCCATGGTGAAGCACAGCCCGATTTCCGATCTAGGAAGATGCCTTGACAACAGGCTGGCATCGCTATGCCTGGCAACATGGAGCAGCTTCTCCACGAGGTCGACAGCATATACGGTAGCATACCATACGTCGAGAAGCTTCAGATAGCATCAGGTTGACTGTGGGAGGGTGGGATGGGGTCAAGGGTTAGTCAAGTCGTGTTCATGTTTGCACAAACATGCCGCCCTCGTCCGCCATAGTTGCCATTCTTGGTAGTTGCAACTTTCGTCCGCACAAAACACAGGCCCTCTCCCTTCCTCCAGCACACTCCCTTGCATCGTCATATCTGCAGCACGCTGGCATGTTGTGAACATGGCTCCAATGAAGTACTAAAAACTTGTCCGTTTGCAACCTACAGTACGGTACTTTTAGGCATGGGACGACAGGACTGCCGAGTGGCACACGTGACATACACTGCGTTGACAATAGGCTGTGGCCCCGCCCCGACGCCAATATCACAGGACATGTGGTCCAATCATGCAGTGCGCTCGTATGGCCTGAGGGAGTCAACTCCCCCAACCTGACCCAACCTGGAAACAGCTAGGGGCATCCGTGAAACAGAAGGCTGATACCGACGGCTCCGGCGTCATTGATTACACCGAGTTTCTGGCAGCTACGCTGGACAAGAAAGTGTACGTTCAGGCACGATGTTTTGCGATGTCTCTCTCTCTCTCTCTCTGTCTATCTCTCTCGGAAGATGGGTGTGCGGCAGCTCATAATGTGGTCTCATGCAAGGAGGACATCGTATGGACCGCCTTCAAGAAGTTTGACTTGGACAACAATGGCAGCATCGACATGAAAGAGTTGGCGCAGGCCGTCCCTGAGTGCAAAGGTGGACTCAGTGAAAACGCTTGTGGGGCCCTTGTCGTTCGGCTACCCCTTAGCACAAAACATCACAAAACCACAGGCCGTCGTTAGCCACCCTCTGGCACAACTCAATCCAAAGTGTCGAGCATGCGCCCTTAAAGGCGACGATGTTTCTGAACGTTGTTTGTTGGTGCGAATTCTAGGCAAGGTTTTCGGGTTTGCATTCCTGTATGTTTGACAGAAGGTTCGGAGGCTTAAGTTTAGGGGATTGCATTGGTGTCGGCTTCATGTTTAGGACTGAGGGGTTTGAGGACTTGAGGCTGCACTTCTGTAGCTTCCGGATTCAGGTTTTCTGGGTTGAAGTTTCAAGGGTTTATGTTTTTGGGCTTGTGCTGTTCTGGGTTTGGGCTGTGTCGGGGCACAGTTCTCCCAAACTCGTAGCCTGAGCAGGTCATCGGCGACGAACAGGTGGTCGAAGCCATGAACCTCAAAGACAGCGGCCGCGCTGCAAAATAATTGAACGGCAGAGGTACCGTCCAGTTGGGTTCAGCCAAGTCCTGCTAAGGCGGCGATGTGGGCAGCTTAGTCAACATCTTCGAGCAGGTGGACAAGAATGGTGCGCGGAACTCAGTGGCCCCTGAAGAGCACAAGCCTGCAAAGTCGTGTTTAGCCAGGGGCTTGAGAGCAAGCAGCGTGTGTTAGGACCGTTAGGAAGTAGCAAGGAAGTAGCAACTGCTGAGGATGGCAAGATCGACTTCGATGAGTTCTTCCAGATGATCCGCGGGGTGGAGAATAGCAGTCAGTCGCCTACCGGCTCTGGCCCTTCCATCAAGCCCGGGGGCCGGGATTCTCCAACACACAAGCAGAAGGAAGAGCAGAGGCTGAAGATGAGCAGCGCCTCAGTCGCAAACTTTGAGAAGGTTGAGAAGTGCTGAGAAGTGTTTTCAGAATAAGTTCACGGTGCTGGCACGGTGCTGGCACGGTACTAATTTGTCTCTGGACTGTGCATCAGGTCTCTTGGAAGACTTCGACGAAGATGATGGGGGCGCAGTTCAGAAGAAGGCACAGCAAGATGTTTGAAGCATGCTCCGAAGTTTCTGCGGACCTGCTGCGGAAGCCCGGTGGTGCTTGTAAGTCATCTGTTGCGATTCATGGTGTGTTACAGTGCGTTTGCCTAGAAACAAGCACAGGCCAGTCTCTCCGCAAAGATACTCTACTGACGCCGCAGCCTTACAGATACCGCAAATGAATCCAAAGGGACAAAGTGCCCTCTGGCTCCGGTTGTATCCGCTTGTTCTGTAACCTGGGCTGACTGCCCACACGTGCACAGTGGTGCGATCGGAAGCCAGGAAACCGCAGAATTTCACTCAGGGAGGTGCATGTCCCCCATGTTTCACTCTCGGATGGAGCTGCCTGCAGCCGCTGAGAAACAGGCAGTCAGCAGAGGGCATGTAAGAGTGAAACATGCGCGGGAGTGGAAGGTATAAGCATGGGCTACCGGCAAGCCGGCAAAGCATCCCTCAACCCTTAGCTCTCAACGTTTCTGAACTCTTAGACCCCAAAGCCCGGTACCCATCAAGCCATCCCTTTCCCCAGGTATCGGCGCTATGGCTTCCGGGTTACTTCTTGCGCTGACACATGGTCTAGCCTGTTCCTTTTGCATAAGGTTGCTGCTTTTACAACTTCTGCATGACGGACTCAATGAACAGCTTCCCGAGTCGAGTGCATCAATTGAGTGAGAGGGCCAGGCGTGAAGTCTAAGTGAGGGCAGCGGGGGGCTGGAATTGGAACCCCTGCGAGAAGTGAGAGCAGTTCGCAGTTTGATTCGGAGGTTGGTTGGGGGTGGGACTCGGGGCCAAAAGAGAGCTGTTGGACCTGCGAGAGGTGTGGGGGCATAGGGCCAGCGCAGGAGTCTAGCTGTGTTCCAGTCAGATAGCTTGTGCTCGGTCGGCTCAAGAGGTGATGTTCTCATGAAGTGGAGGCAAAGCAACCCGCATGGGAAGAACCATTGAACACCATAGGCCCTACATTTCGCAACATTCGCAGCCTCCTCAGACACTTGGAGCATGAACGGGAACAAATGCTGCCGGAAAGTCACCCAACCCCCTGTAAGCCCCTTGTTGGACCCGGCCCACACTGCCGTAGCGACTTGCCAGTGGTGTAATATGTCTTGATATTATCAGGTAGGAGGATGTAGGTAGCCTGCATGGAGTTTCAGATCCGTGTGGGCCAGCATCTCACATTGGCGTTCGCAGAGGGCGCAGCATGAGGAGGAGCGAGAGGAGCGAAACAGCCCCACTGTTGAAAGGGACCGTCGCCATCGCCCAAGCACATCAAACACTCGACATCGAGGGGAACTTTTCCAATCGACCTGGTGGTCCCAGCGGTCCATCGACGCTTTATGAGATCTCCTTGCATCGGTCGCGGAAGCGGACGCTGGAAAAGGGTTTCGATGCGCGTGGCAGCTTCGTGCACTTCGCTCACCGCCACCTCAAAAG